ATCCTTACAAACCAACCATAGAAATCCTTTTTTCTCCTAGACAGTATATGTTTGTTGTCCTGATATTTGCATACCATCTGTTCACTGAATCCCTATCATTAGTCTTTATTCCTGATTAGTCTCTAATTTTAATGGATCTCTTTGTGGAAGAGAAGGTGTAGTATGGTGTATGGTGTATGCTGATATTGATAATGTGTTATCTTAAGACTGAGATTTTGTTTGAGTGAATCAAGGTGATTATAATATTGGACTGTCTGTAGATATTATTTAGTGTGTAATTCTTACGGACAGAGTCTTCATCCCTCATACCTGGCTGGGAATATTCTTCTCGATTGGAAGGTACTTCATACGATTGATTTTGGTTACATAATTCAGATGTATAATACTCAAGAAACTATCGGATCTGTAAAGCTACCTAACAGCACTGGTGAGGAAGTTTTACATTTTGAAATATTGTCATTGTTGAATAGTACCATCGTCGGAATGCTTCTGAACTATGCATAACTCAGGTAAGTTTTGGTCAAGTATACAGTAGAACATGAAGATTCCTGGCCAACAACAACAGCAACAACAACAACAGAGGACAATCAGCATAAATGGGAAGAACCTGAAAGAAACAGGCTCCTTCAACTATTTACCTGGGAAGCATCGTTTCAACTACAGGCGGACAGAACTGACGGGGATATCAAAGCAGCGGCGATCGGGAAAGCAAGGCAAGCTTTCATTGCTCTCGTCTAAGTGTGGGTCAACAGCACTCAGCATGAAAATGAAAATAACATCCGGATTTTCAACTCCAATATGAAGTCAGTGCTACTTACAATACAAATCAGAGACTTGGCGCCGAGTCATGAAGAGCACCTCAAACAAACTACAGACCTTAATTAACAGTTTTATTCGCTCAATACTCAAGATCAAATGGCCGGCAAGAAGAGATCAGCAACAGGGATCTCCGGCAATGAGCGAACCACCCAGGAACCGATTGTGAAACAGAAATGTGTGCAGAAAGCAATGGAGATGGATTGGCCATACTCTGAGGAAACCATCAAGTGACATCACTAGACAGGCTATCGCTCAAGTGGAACCCAAAAGGGAATCGGCGAGTTGGTTATCAATGCAAGGGTTGTGGTGAGAGCAGGCTGCTATCCAATTGGTAGACATTAATTTTACGTCAATGGGTATGTCGCAAATAATGGTAGTGAGAAAATATGAACAAGAGTGATTCAACAACCAATCACAGCAACTTGGCATATAGATGATCTGACATTCAAGAAACAGTCACAAAGAGATGCAAAGTCAACTTTCTGTAAGAAACATCCAATCAGAAGACTGTGTTTGTCTGCTTGAATAAGCTATAATAATGTGCATGAAACGTATATAAATACGTGTTGATTCCCTTAATAAATGATCTGTTGCCTGGCCCTTGTCTTCTGTTGTTACAGGGTGACTTGGAGGAGGTCATGTGAAGAGGAGATGAAAGCATGTGGGCAGACTTGGAGCCAGGTGAATTTGTTGGCAGAGAACCGAACGCAATGGAGACGCGCGGCTGAAGCCCTATGTTCTTCTAGGAATTAAAGGAAATAATAATAATAATGCAGTAGGACACAAAGACAGGTTTTTCTGAGTTCAGACCGAAATACATCGGTAAATAGAGAAGGTTGGCATTGAGGGCAGTAACCACATCCCATAAAATTGACATAACTATTTTTGAAACTTCAGGGTTGATGCTTTAAGCCCCAATGTTCCACTGGGTAAGCAAAGGAATGAAGATTTTCGTGTTTTGATATCAATAATTCGCCTTTCAATAATTGATCGTAAATTCATTCTTCTGAATATGATAAATTTCATTGTTTTGTAACACTGAATAATCGTCATTTGAGTAATAGTATTGTTATACCGCTTTATTATTATTTTCTTTATTGATTTTATTCCGATAGAACTTGTAAACATCAGGTAATAATTTATGCTGAGTTTATCTTGTAACAGATTACTGAACTATAATAAATTAGTTTTGTTTGAATTGACAAGGATCAGTTTATACGGTTTGATTTAATCGTGAATTCTTCGCGAATTGATAATCTATTATGAGTTTTACTCTGACCATAAAATAAATAAATTTATCAAGAAACACACAACAAAGAAAGCGAAAAAGGACTACTCACTATCTGTAAACAAGAAGCCACTTTATATACGACTACCATTCAAAGGCGACATACCAAGTGAGATAATTACGAGGAAATTAACAAAATCAGTTCAAAGAACTCTCAATGCTGGCGAACTACACGTATTATTCTCTACACAACCGATGATGATTCCTCGACTGAAAGATGAAGTACCCAGTATATTCACTTCGAATTTTATCTATCAATTCAACTGCACATGAGGTGGAGGGAGTTATATCAGTCATTGCTCTAGGAACTTGATTTTTCGTGCTCGCTTGGGAACATCTCCCAGTGTAGCTAAGTAAAGGTGCAGTTAAAACCACTAACAGTTAGACATTGGACCATCTGGTGCAAACCGGCCACAAAGCCAGCTAGCGTGGAAGAATCCTTCTCTATCATCTGCTGGGTGCCAAATGAATTGCCAAAATCATCGAAACACCGCATGCTTCAAACAGCAGAGGCTATCGCAATTCGCCTCAAGCAACCAGTGCTCTGTGTTCAAAAGAAGCAAGTTCAGCCACTACTACTGCCCTGGCTTTCATTGGAGACTATAAATTCATGAATTTGTAATATTATCTTTCCTAATTTTTTCTGACATTCAGTTTATTATTATGTTGGTGCTGTTGAACTGTAATCCATTGGTATTATTATTTATTCAATGTTATTTAAACAGCATTAATGTTGTTCATGATATATATGTTATGGATGGATATATAACTGTAGAGCCTGATGATGAAGGGGTTATCAAAAAGATTACTTTTTGTTAAGTAACCATTTTTTTTGAAAATAAATTTCTTATTATATAGGGTTAAATGGAAATAATGACTTGACACTATTACTGTCATCAAAATTTAAAGTAGCTTGGTGAGCTTCTTTCACTTATGAATATCCCTACGTGCTCAGTTTCTGTTTTTAAGAAAGGGAGAGAAGCTTTATAGTACCCCAGTGAAGTTTTTTTCGGGTAGATAGTGTTTAGAGATTTAATTTCTGTTCAGGATAGAGACAGGTAAAATTAATAGGTCCCTGGATTTTTTGTTGAACTCTCACAGATACTGTCATTAATCGGAAAATACTTGATTCGACTGATGGCTTTGAAAATACAAGTCATCCTGCTTTTCTACATCTAGAAATATAAATTATTTAGCCACATTTAGCAAAAAAGCATTTAAGAGTATATTAATATATGTGTAAGACTTGGACACTGTGTTAGTAAGTAATTTCATATTAGTTTTTCAATTAGATGGATCTCCTTGAAAGCTACTCAAAATCTAGACTAACAAATTTTTAGGAACTAAAACATAGATAAGATAATTTAAAATTAGATAGTTAAGAAAAAAGTGGTTAGTTTTGACATTGTCAGGTTATATACACGTATGCCAATAAATATGGCTATAGAGGCAGTCAGAAACGAACTCATATCTGACCAAGAACTCAAACTTAGGACAAAAGTGCCACTTGAGGATATAATGCTTGGGAGTGCAGCTTCGCCTGACTTCTACAGTATTTAAATTCGAAGGGAAAATATGCAAACAAATGAAGAAGTTGACATGGGATTACCAATATTTCCGGTTTTAGCAGATATATTTTCATGAATAGGTAGGAAAACATGGCGACTGAAACGTTCACCCCAACCCCCAAAAAATGGTGGAGGTATGCAGATGACACATTCACTGTACAAAGATCACAGGATATTGATAGATTTTTCGAACACATTAACTCACTGGTGGAGGCAATTCAATTCACTTATGAATTAGAAAGTCAGGAAGGGCAACTTCCAATGTTAGATTGTAATGTAGAAAGGAAAGAATATAGGAAGTTAAACACTAGTGTTTACAGGAAATTCACACATTCAAACAGATATTTGGACTTCCGATCATCCCATTCTGTGTAACGTAAAACAGTATTAGTGAAATGTTTAAGTGACAGGCACAAAAGCTTAGTAGTACCAAGGAAAATCTAAGAAGGAAGTGAGGCACACAAGAGAAGCTTTGAAACTTAATAATTACACTGATAAATTAGTCAGAAAGAATGTAAGGAAATGTGGAAATAAAATAAATAATGATAGTAATAATAGTGGTGATAATAATAACAATGTTAATGACGACACCAACAATAAGGAATCTAAATCATCAGTGGTAATTCCATACGAGGAGGGAGCCTAGAAAACCTTACGCAGAATTCTTAACAAGGCAGGAATAAAAGTGGCTGGAATTCAAACCCACAAACTCCATTGGAAGCTAACTTTGTCGGTTAAAGGATTCTGTTTAACATTCAAAACAAAACAATTTAGTTTATTTAATACCGTACTGAATGATTTTCAGATCAAATACACAGGTCATAGTAGTGGAACAGGGGCAGTCAGTCAGACTAGTGGAGCACAAAATGCTAGCCAATTGTAGATTACTTGACCCGAATGAGATAAGAAATATGGAGAATACTTCAGCCGTAGGTAGCACTACATGCAGTTACACACAAACATACAATAGGATGGAATAGGATGACAGTTTTAAAATCTGATGTAATAGCAGGGTGGAGGGAGAGATTGGTAACAACGGAAGCTTTTTTATCGAATCAACCGCAAACACGTGTACTAGGAATGATTCAACACCTGTTCACCCAGATATCTGGAAATTCTACCACCCCTGTGGCAAATAGGAGAAGATGAAGAAAACTATAAACCTCAAGTTTCGAAGTCACGTAATTATAATTGATATAATTATGAACAATAATAATTTTTTGTTTCAAACGTTGTCATCCAGTAAATAATACTGTTTCACTCACTGTGTGATACATTTTATAAACAAACTAACATTTTAAATTATTATTTTTTTCACGACTCACTTTTAATCGAGGACACACTCCTTCTTTCAGGACTTGTTCTTGTTCTTCTGGTGGTGTGATAAGCAATGCCATTCGTAAATAAAACGTTTTGCACGTTTCCGCACAAAACAGTATTGGCATATCATGTTTATGGGGATTGGTAAAAGACCAGCAAGAAGGACGAACCAACTAGTCGTCTATAAAATAAAAAAATAAAGTGTATTCTTCCCTTTACTTCAAGTAATACTTAGTTAATAAACGCCATGGAATATAATAACACTGACAGAAGGTAAATGACATTATTTTAAGGAGGCGAATAGGTGTCACTAAAAATATAGGAGTTTCTAAAGCAAAAGAAAGATGTAAAAACAAGACTTATTCTTTTGCAATTAATAGTGTTCCCTGAGCTGATTGGTTTAGTTGCGGAGACTTCGTCGTCCTTCTGGACAACATCCCTATCAGCGCAATATTTAGCATGAAGTGAAATGATTTAAATTTCTTCGTGAGTGATATAATTGCGTCTCCCGGTAACCATCTGCATTGATCTTTTTCTATTGACTTGAGTTTTAAACTTTCTGGTCACATGATTTACTTTTTATTAGTTGGTATATTTGGTCTATATGTTAACGTGTTTGTTAATTGCATATTCGTTTGAGTACCAGGCTTCTAGGAATTCCCTGACTGCAATTTTGGTGTTTCCTCTGTCTAGGATTTCGACATTATCCCAATCAAATTGATGTCTATGTGCATTGATACTAAAGAATATATATATATATCGTGTCTTTTCACTGCTGATTTGTGTTCTTGGATTTTGATTCAAAGATGGCGCCCACTTTGGCTGATATAATGCCTGTTACAGTTCATACATGCAATTTATTATGTAAATGGTATTAATTTTATCTCCTGTTTCTGTTGGATGTGTCACTAATTGTGGAACTTTCTGTCAACTGACAACATGTAAAATTTGTAAGTATGTTAAAACGCTGTAAGCAGCAGCTGAGCTGATGAGAAGCCAACGAAATAAACAAAGGATGGTACCATATTATTCTACACAAACCACCACTGTTTTCTTGCTTTATTCAAATTCTGGCAGTTTTTTGATTTTCTCCTATAAGTATTCAAATTTATGTGAAATTAAACATGTAAATTGTCTATGCAATCCAAATATTCGACAGTTTTCTTTCTTATCGGTTCAAACGTATTCCTGTATTCTTGCTCCTCACACACACACACGCACACAATTCTGGATAATCCAATATACATCGAGAAATCTTTAAGCCCAGTTGAACAGCACCAGACAATACGTCAGATTATTATTATTATTTTTTTTCATAACCATCTTCTACGTCCAAGTAAAAGTGTGATTTGAAGGAATTTCGTCTTTTCTTGCTTTGTAATAATAATGATGATCAACTAAGAAGGCTCATTTACACCAATAAAAACAATTTTATTCGAAATTATCGATTCGTATGTCTTCTTCTTGGTCATTAAAGTTGTAGGATTCCTTTGCCAACTAAATTTATGTTTGTTTGTATAAAAATCGACAAGTTAACAGCCTATGTAAAAATAACTGAACTCGTCAATCCTACTCCACTAACTTTTACAGCTTTCAGTTGCAGTTCTAATTATTGACAGACACTGGCAACAGAACCAATGGAAATCACCGTGATAAAGGTACACCACAGCAAACAGGAGGTCTATGTGAATTCATAAACATTTCCCTTAAAATATACGTGGTTTTGAAATAATAGAGAAGATTTGTAGCTCAGATTGATGATTTGCAATTAGCAGTGTCCTCTGAGCTGATTGGTTTGGTTGCGGAGCTTCCGTCGTCCTTCTCGCCGATGTAATGCCTGATCATATAGTTCATCCAATTTATTTTGTAAATGGTATTAATTTTATCTCTTTTTTTTCTGTTGAATGTGTCTTTCGGTTTGCCTAATATCGAATGAAGCGATTTGACTGGCTGTATTCTAGCTGTTATTTGAGAGATATTTCTGAGATATGTATTGTAGGATGAATTTTTTTATGGTCTTTGATGATGGTTCCTTGTTGTTGTTGTGATTCGGTTTTAAACACCTTTTGATAAAATTTTATGGATAACTATTCTTTTTGAAGACCGTTTGTAGGTATTTTCGTTTTGTTCTTTTCAACTCTGGAGTGCTACAGTGTGTTTGAACTCTTTTTTGAACAATGTCTGCACACAGTTTCTTTTATGAGTAATTGGATTATTGCTAGTATAGTTGAGTATTTGATCTGTGTGCGTTGATTTTCTATATACTTGCATTTCTAAATTCCCTGTGTTGATTCTCTTGGTTACGATATCTAAAAATGGGATTTTTTTCTTATCTAATTCTTCTTCTCTTGTGGTGAATCTGATGTCTTCAAATATGTTGTTTATTAAATTATGGGTATATTCTCAATCATTTCTCTTAATTATTACAAATGTATCATCAGCGTAACGTACCCGGATTTTTGGTTTAATTATAGGTAGAGCTATTAATTATGCTAAATATTGCGCTGAAGATGTTGTCCATAAGGACGACGAAAGCTCCGCAACTAGGCCAACCAGCTCAGAGAACACTGCTAATTGCAAATCATCCATCTGAGCTGCAAATCTTCTCTATTATTTCAAAGACTTATTCTTCACTGGCATCGGTGAGACCAAAATGACAAGAGATTGTTGAGATGTCAAAACCAGCCAGAATCGGAAAGCTAAGACAGAGACCTTCATTAACCTGAAATCAATTTGAAAGTATTCTGCACTCAGCATGAAGAGTGCAAAGTTCAGATTTTTTCTTTTTGATTATAGCTTGAAACCATGCAGTATTTTTGGTACATGTGATATCGGTAGCCCAAATTTACTTGGCCGACCATTGATATCGGGGTGCGTCAGCAGGGATTGAACCCCGGACCATGTGCATGGTCGGTGAGAGTCCTAACCACTGTGCCTCCAACGCACAGTGTTAAATCAGTTCTATATTTAGGTCAGAAACGTGATACGTGGATCAGCGAGATGCATTTCCAACACATGCTTTTGCTTTGTTTTGCCATACAAATGGCCACAACAAGAAATTCTCGGAACGAGCTGAACAAGAACATCTTAGTCAACAGATATCTTAAAGAAAACGGAAATGAATCAGGTACACACTGAGGAGATCATCAAATGACGCTATTCACCAGGTCGTCACTCAAGGTGAACTCGAATGGGAAGTGGTGAGTTGGCCGGAAGTCCGGAGATGACATGGAGAAAATCGTGTGCTTCGAAGGAGACTAGGGCTTATGGGGAATCGTGAGGCCAGCCAAGGAGGATCTCAGAGAATAGAACGAAGTGGATATGTGTTATTGGAGCCCGCTGTTCCACTTGGAACCTAAAGCAATAATAATAATAGACACTAGTGTGGCATGATGCGGATTGACAAGAAGCAGCTAAAATTGAGATCAACTTTTTATGTCAATGCTTACATGGGTAGAGGTGTTTTTTCCTAAAATACGGATTCATTTTACGTTGTTGTCTTCAAATAATCTCATTGGACAGCTTTATGTCCATTTATTTAACCTCGGACGAATAGTCAGCCAACCAATCAGAACCATTTGTTGTTCGCTTACCAAGCCCGCATTCAGTTTAGTTAAAAATATATAACGTGATGCTTTTTTCACTAGAACAGGCGTCGGTTACCAAATCTCTTGTCTTTTGCTGTTATACTGGAAACAGCGTTTCAGTCACTGTTTAAAAGATGAAACACTTTGGAAGAGACTTATGTATTTATCAATCAAAACAAAGCTTAGCTATTACATACACAAAGAGATCTATATATATGAAACATTTTCACTTATTCAGTTATATCACTATGGTACAAAACACTGGGGTGTAGTGTGAGTCGAAAAACGAATAGATTTTTCAGTAATGGTTATATTCCCATGGAGTACTTTTTGTGCTTATGATATACTGTAGCAGGGGCAATGATGATATAATAATCGAAGATACTTAACTTGGATTAATTCTTTCTTATAATCTATCCTGATCTTCCCATGTCTTAGTGATTTCTAAAAGAATATTTCGTCTGGCTTTTTACATTAAGAAGTTAGGGCAATCAGGCATAACTCAACTACTCCTCCACTAACAGTTTGTCAACTAGTGCAACTTACCTATTATTCTTTACTGTTCCCCGTTATTCTTTCCTGGATTGCTTGAAAAAAGCCCATGTCATAATTCGTAGAACTCTGATGGCTGTCGGTAGGGCGAGTGGTATCCCATTGGGCCATATCGTTGACATTGTCACTGAAAGACACTTGATGTCATGCAACAAATTTGCTAAAGGAATTTTGTCAGATTCTGAGCTCCCACTCTACCCACAGTTCGAACCTTGTGTCTCCTCAGGTAAAACAAGAAGTTTTTTCAGAAGACTTTATGCACGTACATCTAAGTGTAGAAATTCCACTATACCATATTTGACACGTACTTTGTGCGATGAAAAGTGTTAGGCACGAACTAACTAACCTTCTTTGCACCCTAACAACATAAACCTTTATTGTTATTGTAATTCTTACGCTTATAATCCTCTCAATTTTATTTATATTTATTTATTTTCTTAGAAGTGTTAACATCACTTAAGCTGTGTTATAACTGTTAATTTTGTATTTCCCCTCACCACAAAATATCAGCACAACATTAGATTCAATAATCTATAATATGCTAAAATTTCCTAACTGAATCAACAGTAGCGTTTGAAACAAACCCACTGTTTTCATTATTATTATATTTATTATTCTCATTTTGTACTTCGAATATTTTTGATTTTAAATCGTAAATGTAGACAAATTCCTCTGGTTAATTTTGTTTTAATTTTCAATTTTATTTATATTTTAAGTAAATCAGATGCAATATTGTGACAACTGCTGAGAATTTTTAGTCCCGGTACCGCTCGTAGTCTACGGCCCAGCTATATAAATTCCCAGGTTTTCCAATGGTTCTTTAACTAATGTCAGCTCATGATGAAATCCTGAAACCAATCAAATCCCTACAAACCAACACTTGAATTTCATTTTGTATTATAAGTACTGCTTTTGGGATAAAGTTGACTATTATTATTACTATAACCTAATAGGCAGAACATTGTTTCATTGCTAGAAATCAGTGAAAATTATTCACACAATACGTCTTGGCCTGTTCACGGAAGGCATTAATTTTATAGAAGTGTTCATGTGCGTCGGTGGCACAGCGGTTATGACTCTCGCAGACCATGCACATTACCCAGGATTCGTTCCCTCGCCAACGCACAACTGATACCAATTTGTCGGCCTGCAAAATTTGGCCTACCGATATCACATGCTAAAAATTCCATTTTTGTACCAAAAATATGGTATGAAATCAAAAATAAAATGCTCTTTTATGAATTCATGTTTTCAAGGGACTTACCAAAGACCATCTTGGGAATGTGTAGACATGACCGCCTACACTGGTTTCTAAAATGTCTGCAGTGATGAAATTGAACACCAGCATAAAGAGGATCAATAAAGGTACACAGAATTTTAAGATAAATCGTGTTGTGAAGTAAATCTTTTGACCAGTTTGCCTTTGAAGATTTACCGATAGATTGTATATACCTTCACAAAAAGAAGACAGGACAATAGGGATGTATGAATAATGCTGCCATTACTAATAATAATAAGGTTTTAGCGAACTTAAAGAATAATGACCAACGTGCGCAGTGTGAACGCGCCAAGAGACTTTGAAAGCATGCCATTCGTTAAATTACAGAATCTGTTGCTATTACAGCGTCAGTATGAACGCTGCACATGAATAAAGAGGTGTAGTTTCATCCTGATTTTGAATTTTAAAAAAATATTTAAAAAATGGGTTTGTAACACGTTAGGGTTAGCGTTGTGGATTAGTTTTCCTGTGAACAAATAAACAGGGGGAGGGTTTTTCGATGCTTATAATGATGAAATCGAAACTTGAAAACGCATACCCCCAATTGTAATTGGGAAGTGATTTTCAAAATGTCAGGGTAAGATATCGTCTCTAATGTGTTCCATTATTATTATTGTGCTAATTTTTCTCGTAAATAAACGACGTCTTGAATTTTCATACACGGCAGGTTCTGTAATCCAACGAATGATATGTATTCAGTGTAACTAGTGCGTCCGTACTCCATGGTCGTTGTTGCTTATGTTGACAAGGTTTTCTTTGTTCGCAAGTTGATAAAAGTACTAGCGGAATCGCATAATCGTTAACCCATTCAAACGATGTTTTCTAACTATTTTTGGTGAATTTAGATCTTTGCTTGAAACATCCCCCCTTGAAAACTGCCATACGTTGTCTACATTGTCATACGTATAGATTACGCTTCCTCCAGTTACGCTACCTTATTATTACATACAGAATTTCGATTGATAAAATAAATTCTGCAATCCCTTATCACTTATTAAAATCAAAATGTTTATGCTTTGCTAGTGAAATATTAATTTTAATTTTAAATCCCAGAAATTTTAATACTGTTGATATATTTGGAATTTACATACCAGATAAAATAAACTCAGAGACAACAGAGGACTTGATGACGCCACTACTGGAGAAGGTGTGAAAAGAGGGCAAAGTACCCGAGAACTGGAAGAAAGGATACTTATTCGAACTACCAAATAAAGGAGACTTAGGTCAATGCAAAAACTGGCGCGGAATTATGCTCCTGTCCATCCCAAGCAAAATACTAAGCCGCATCATCCTGGAGAGAATCAAACACGGCATTCTGGATGAAAAACTTCGACTGGAACAGGCTGCATTTGGGAGGAACAAGTCATGTATTGATCAAATCGCCACTCTACGGATCATCATCGAACAAAGCTTGGAATGGCAGTCACCTCTCTATCTCAACTTCATCGACTTTGAAAAGGCCTTCGACAGGGTCGATCGATAGGTAATTCGGCAACTACTTCGCTATTACGAGGTACCGCCGGCAATTATACGTCTCATCCAGCAATTGTACGAAAACCCTACATGCCAAGTAACTTACGGAATCGTTCGAAGTGAAGACAGGAGTAAGACAAGACTGCCTACTATCACCAATGATTACCTTGACTGCAGGGAATTGAGTAATGCGACAGACGTTTAGCGAGTGGCAAGTAAACAGGCATAAGATGGACACACACAAAAACCTGGAGGATCCGAAATTCGCCGATGATGATATGTGTCTGATTTCCCACAAACTGGAAGATATGTAAGTGAAAAGCAACAAGTTGGCAAAAGAAGCATCCAAAGAAGGTAGGACCTTAAGTGAAAATAGATAAAACTGATGTGTTGATGTAGATTCCTGGCCAAAAGTAACAGCAACAGCAACAGACAACAATCAGCCAGCATAAATGGGAGGAGCCTGAAAGAAACAACCTCCTTTACCTACCTGGAAAGCGTCGTTTCAAATATAGACGGAACTGACGAGGATATCAAAGCCAGAATCGGAAAAGCAAGACAAGCTTTCATTACTCTCAAATCTGTGTGGAGGTCAACAGCACTCAGCATGAAAATGAAAATAAGATCCGGATTTTCAACTCCAATGTGAAGTCAGTCAGTGCTACCTAGAATATGAATCAGACACTTGGCGCGTCATAAAGAGCACATCAAACAAACTACAGACCTTCATTAACAGTTGTCTTTGCTCAATACTCAAGATAAGATGGTCGGCTAGAAAAGATCAGCTACAGGGAGGGATCTCTGGCAATGAGCGAACCAACCAGGAACCGATTTTGAAACGAATAGGCAGGAAGAAATGGAGATGGATTGGCGATACGCTGAGGAAACCATCAAGTGACATCACTAGTCAAGCCCTTGAGTGGAACCCGAATAGGAAGCGGCAAGTTGGTCGTCAGTGTGAGGGTGACTTGGAGGAGGTGATGTGAAGAGGAGATGAAAGCATGTGGGCATACTTGGAGCCAGGTGAAAACTCAACGAACTCAACGCAATGGAAACGCGCGGCTGAAATCCTATGTTCCTCTAGGAATTAGAGGAAATAATAATAAATTAACTGGGTCAATTTTTGAAAGGGTTGAAGATGTGATCACCACGAGGTCAATACAAAATTTATCATCCATTTTGCTCTCACTAATCGATAGAAGACAACTCATTACACCTTATTAATTTTCAGTAGTTGGTTTGTAAGGATTACATTTGTTTTTGACGAGTTGACCGCGGATTGATATCAGTTAGAAAAAACTGAAAATCACCACGAAGTACTGGACAAGTGTTTAATCCTAATTTGGGAATCATTGGAACTATGCACCCTCTGATACTCGCTAGTGACTTGCTACAGGACGACGTTTCCTGGATTTCTAGTGAGAAGTCGTGACCAGTGAGGTCCATTCAGTCGGGAGTGAGGATAAATGTCCCACCAATCATATTGGTTGGTGATTACGCTTAACCCATCAAGAATTGGTAGAAGTTAGAATTCATGAGCCGGTCATCAAATCGGGCGGGTCCTGGTGGCGGCTGAATGATATACGAGCTAGCTTGCCTTGTAGCAGGAAGATCCTGGGTTTGAACCCTGTCAGTAATTTTGTACTGGTGATGATTCCCAAACCAGGCGCATGAAACAGCTATCCAGTACTCCAGTGGTAGATTTTAATTGTTCTCTAAGTGATATCAATCCATGATCAACTTGTAAAAACACGTCATTATTGTTAATAATTCTATAAATATAACTTTATTTCTATGAAGACTTTAGGTTTTTCTGTGATGGGCAAAAGCGGAGGCAATAATTTTAGCTATAGGTATACGATTTAAGCACACATTATTGCCAACAAGTATACAATCATAATAGCCTGAAATTGTGTTTAAATTGAGAAGAATAACTTACCATACACATAAACAATAGCGAAACATTGGAATAAAGAAACCACTAAAAGAGAGGTACCACATGTGTACTGGTCCAGGTACTGCACTAGATAATATCCTCCCTGAAAAATGATCAACAAAGCTGTACAGTGTACTACTGTTCTCAACATAAAGAGATAAGAAGAATTCAAGTGAAACAATTCCAGTATTTTATTATAATATAAATCCTCGTAGGTAGTATAAAGTTGATTTTTAGCCGTATTTGGCAATTTCAAGAATAAGAAGAAAAAATTAGCTTACTCACTCGCCGGAAGTGGAACTAAGCACCTTCCAATTGCCTGGGGTTTTGCCGAGAAGTCGTGATTATTAAAGTCAGATAGGTTGGGTATAGGGACAAATACCCTCTGATGACACCACCTGGTTTCCACGCTAAAATCACGAATTCATAGAAGTTATAACTCATAAGCTGTTGAATCGAGTCCCACTGGCTACAGCAAAAGTTACAAATTCAAGTGTTGGGTTGCAGAGATTTGATTGTTTACAGGATTTCATCAAGAGCTGACATGAGTTACAGAACCATTGGAAAACTTAGGAGTACTGGAAAGCTGTTTCGTCCTAGTTTGGGACTCTTCGTCAGTTCGCGCCCACTGCGATTCGAACCCAGGACCTTCCGGTTACAAGGCGAGCTCGTGTACCATTGGGCCACTGGGATCCGATGCAATGGCCCATGAATTCTAACTTCTGCGAATTCGAATCCCGGTGGGTGCGTAGTGATGAAGAGTCCCAAACAAAGACGAAACAGCTGCCCAGTGCTCCCAGGTTTTCGAGTGGTTCCGTAACTAATGTCAGCTCGTGGTGAAAAGTTACATACCTCTGACCCTGGCTTGCTGAAACATTTGAATTTTGTCAGATAGTCAGTGTATGACAGTATGTATTTTAATCATTATTATTGTTCCCTTGGGTTCTTGGTGGAACATAGGGCTTCAACTGCACGTCTCCACTTGCTTCTGTCTTCCTTCTGCCGTACTTTTCACCTGCACCCATCTTAGTCCATACTGTTTCAACTCCTCTTCACACGATCTCCTCCATCTCAATCTTACTCTGAAGTCCCACTTGCCGCTTCCCATTCTGTCGGGTTCCACTCGAGCAATGGCCTGACGAGGGCGCGATGTCTTGTTGTTGGTGATTCTTTCCGGCCCGGCCATCTGATCTTCAGTATAGAACCAGCGAAGACAGTTGTTGGTTGATGAATGTCTGCAACAGACTGTTGGAAATATTCTTTGTGACCCACGAAATCCCTGTCTGATCCGTATAGAAGAACTGACTGACTTGACATTTGTATTGAAAATCCGACCGAAATTTGTTGTTGATGCTGAGTGACGAAGATTGGTTTCCAGATTGGTTTCAGGTTGATGAATGTGTTCCTCGCCTTCTCCTTGCCTCTCGGTTTGACATCCTCCTCCGTTCCGACTTCCTGTAGTTGAGAAAATGCTCCCTAGATCAGTGGGCGAATGAAGTAACCTCTTTCAAATCCCTCCCATTGATGGTGATTGGCTCTGGATTTTGCTGCTTCTGTTGTTGTTGGTTATTTTCATCACCTCCGTCTCGTCTATGTTCACCTGGAGTCCTGTCTTCGCCGGCTGCTTCTTCGACCAGTTTGTCCATTTTTCGCTTGTAAGTCTTCGATTTTGTGTGACATCAAATATAAATCACCCGCGAAATCCAGGTCTTCTAGTTTCTTCACGTCAATTCAGGATATTCCTGTCTTCTCGTTTCCCATACTGCCTGACGCATAATCCAGTCAACCACAATAAGGAATATCATTGGTGATAATAAGCACAGTATGCATAAAGCCTGTTAAGGACTAGACAGCATAATCTGCTGATTAATCTTTGGTGACGAGTCATCAGCTTGTATGCACATAAGTGATGGCAGCTCTAGATCTCTGATTGCCGCACCATGTATTGCAGATTTAAGTATCTAAGATGAGATACAAGTTTTTTTGAAGTTGCATCGCTGACGAAAATTAATCAGCAGGTCTAGTGCTTCTTGATGATCAACTCGAATTATTCAACATAGCAAAGGTATAAGTATTCTGGAAATATGATCAACTTTCAAACAGATGTATGTGTATATGGTATATTGAGAAATCAAGCAGTACAATGCTTCCTAAACAACAAGAATCATAATGATATAAAGTACTAAGAATGGTGGCTATGGCTTTACGTGTAACTAAACGTATTTTGCTATAAATACATAACAAGTAACTGAAGGCCACATATTCATTAAGATTTGACATTCATAAATTGTGTGAATTATGTCTGAAACTTGCAATATTATTGTCTTTGTAGATATACAACTAATCAATCCATCTTCGATGGACGTTTGCAGAATTTTGTAATCAAAAAATTTCATACAAAACCGATAATTGAAAATTCATTGACGCTCACTAGCGATTAGCCTATTCAGGTAGTTAACCTGGGGTTATAGTGGGAAATCATGACCAATAGGGTACATCAGGTTGAAGGTGAGGCAGTGACTCATTGAGAAGTGGTCACACTACGTCGCGAATTAGGCAGAAATTACAATTTATGAGCTGGCTGGCCATTAGATCTGGTGTCAGTGAGTGAGTTAATGGTCTATGAGCTAGCTCGCCTTGTACCCAGAAGGTCCTGGGGTCGAACCCTGGCGGTGGATGTGCACTACTAAAGTCTCTTAAACTAGGACGTTGGAAACAGCTGTTCAGTACTCCTTGTAGGTTTTCCAGTAGTTGCGTAACTGATATCAGCTCATGATGAAATCCTCCAACCAAATATAAAAGGCATTTTGTTATTGCTTCAGCTAAAAATTCATTGTTCTCACTACCTGAACTGCAAAGTTGCAAAAACTTTAAAAAAAAATGAAGTGGGCCTAATTAATGTGTTTAGTCGTTATGATGGGTGAGGATATTATCTATCTCAGTATACTTATATCAGCAAAATGTAGGCTACCAGTTACGACTTGAATTACTTCAGATAATTAGTTGAATGCTGTAATCAGGATATCCTATGTTATGTCCGTCTGTTTTATAGGTGTTTTATCAACGTTTTGTGCAGCTAGAATATCTGTTGTAACGTTTGCTATACCTTGTGAGAAAACACCTCACGACGGTTTTTTTCCTCACTCGCTTCAATTATTCTTTCAAAGAAGTGACGTGTAAGAATCCCAGTGAATTTGATTAAATGTCATTATCTCTGTTGAACTTTAACTAGTCTTTAAAGTTTTATTTATAATTACATATATCAGTGATTTAAAGCTCCTGCGTAGTGTAACAAATCTTTTTCACCTAGTTCACTGTGCGTCGGTTGGCGCAAAGGTTAGGACTGTAGCCGACCATGCACATCGTTTGGGGTTCGATCCCGGCCGACGCACACCTAATATCAATGGTCGGCCTGCAAAAGTTGGCCTACCGATATCGCATGCTGAAAATTTCATACTTGTACCAAAAATACAGTGTGGAATGAAGCTATAATAAAAAATTAAAAAATACTTCATTATTACCGTTATTATATGTCAATCTTTTGCCATATACACTAAGCTTATTATGTCTCTAGTATTTGATTACAGTTCACGATATAACCTGTTTACTTTATCCCTACACTTGATAGCTATCAGCCCTTGCTTGAACTTACATTCAATTCATTGTTCCCAGTTTTTCGTTTCTGTTTGCATGTATTTTGGGGTAATCATTTTCTTCGCACACCAATGAATATGATTCACCCGCCACCCCACCTCTATTCATACTTATATTCTGTTGACTATAAATGAATTAGTATGTGTCACCCTTTCGCCTATTCACACTTTATCACAATTTATGTTCTGAATGTCTGCACATTTTTTATAAATGTACCTTCGAAAATATTACACACTGAACTATCACTCCATATCATGACATGTACCTATTGAGTTATGAAGAGAATAAAAGACAAGTTATATTTGTCCAAACCAAGTTCAATTTTTACAATTTGAAAAAATTTGGGAAATGGGTATATGATATTCATTATAATAAAAGATTTTGTATTTCATGGAGGATTTCATCATGAGCTGATATTGTTTAGAGAACCATTGGAGAACCTTGGAGTACTGGACAGCTGTTTCGTCAAGTTTGGGATTCTTCATCAGTAGGACTATCTATCACTGGAGGGGTTCGAACCCAGGACCTTCAGGTTACAAGGCAAGCTAGCTCGTAGACCATTGAGCCACTGGGACCCGATCCAATGGTCCTTGAATTTTAACTTCTGCCAATTCACGACATAGCGTGACAATTCCGCAATGTCTTCTTCTATGAGTTACTGCCTCATCTTCAACCTGCTGTACATAACTGCTGAAGAGACCCAAACCAGGACGAAACAGCTGTCTAGTACTCCCAGATTTTCCAGTGGTTCTCCAACTGATGTCAGCTCATGATGAAATCCTCCATGCAATCAAACAAAATCCCTACAAAACCAATACTTGAAAGTTTTTGTATTTCCCAGTGAATGCAAAACAAAATGATATTGTTTTTACTGACGTCTCGCTATTTAATGCTAATTGCTTTATCACAGTAGTATTATTAAACCGGAGTTTACAAAATTTCAGCATATATATAAAAAAGAGTTAAGAGGTGAGAAAATAGACTTAGGTCAAGTGAAAGGGCACACTGAAAGTCAAAACAGCAATGAAGACTACTAAACCAAATAACAAAGGTAATAATACATCTGTTAGGGTATTTTTCGAATGGCTCATGGTACGGCCGAACCATGAACCAACTTGAAAAACGCGCTCGTGAACACTATCCAGTCTGACTAGTAAAAGGAGATCGAAAACGTCTATGCAGTTTAGTGACAGAACATCTGGTCAATTCAGGATATTCAGCGCCATTCAAAAAATTCTCACAGTCATGTACATGATTCGATCACACCTATCAAACGGTGTAAAATCAAGACATCTAGGCATGGCCGAGTCACTAGACATACAAAAGCTCAAACCCACGCTATGTATTTAAAAGAAATATGTCCAACCCTTGTCCCTGCCATGGTCATCATAAACAGGTAATTCTTCTAATATTGACTATCCCAATGACTTTCTTATCCAAACTTCTTGTTTATTCATGTTATTTTTGCGTTTTTCCTAAGCCCTATTTACAATACCCTATTTTCATATCCAAACTTCCTGTCATCATTAAAGACCACAAGATAATTCATTCTACCATATACATAAATTATATCTCTGAAATAATGTCTAAAATATTAGGGTCATTTGAAACAGGCATAATACACAAGACAACACAATCGTCTCATGCACTACTGCGCAGACCAAAAGGTTCAACATCATAAGAAAGTAAAATCAATACCCTTTACAAAATAACTTGCATAAACTACGATCAACACTACATCGGTTGAAGTGGGCGTCCCCTTCAAATCCGTACCATTTAACATAAATTTGCTGTGTGAAAAGTTACGATATGTATTTTTTCATGTCAATACATCTAGACAATTACAGACACCAATCTACTGATTGGGAGAATGTAGAAATTTTAAACAGAAGAGGCAGTAAGAGTGATACCAGAGATTTTCTAGAATCCTGGCACTCATATGAATCAGCGATTAACAAACTCACATTACCATAGATCAAATTTACTAGCTAATAAAAAAGCAAATCACATGACAAGAAAGTTCGAATTCGAAGTCAATAAAAACTAGTGATCAATGTAAATTGAAAAACCATCACCACAATGGTTGTCAGGAGATACGATTTTATCGTTATTCATGGAGGATTCAAACAAGTTCCTTTTATATTAAAGCTTACGCTGAAGGGGAATGTTACCTAGAAGGACGGCGAAAGCTTCGCGAATAAAAGTCGTTCAGCTCAAAAAAAAACAACCAAATCAAAATGTTCTACCTGAGGTATGAATCTTCTTTATTATGCATTGAAGGTGTAAAAGCATTATTTGGAGAATATTCAGACAGTTACAATCTACTCATTATACACAAAACGTGAACAATGAACGCACAGCATTTTCTCTTGTTCTGCTGTTCTGTTCTCTTCGTCCAATCGTGAAAACATGTCACTACTGAATAATATTAAGTAGCCAATTGTAGAATAACAGTAATAATTAACTGCTAATATGATTTACCTGACAAGCGTTTGGAATTGAAAGTAGAAATGAAATCGATAGAAAGCCAAATGTTAGTCCTTCTCTAAAATACTTCTTTTTGTTAATATTGAATATAGTTATTTCATCACAGACTGCTGTCAAGAATGATTCTGTTGCACCAATCTAAAACAAAAGAAAGTTCAAAGTGTGATGAGGAAGGAGGGGCAGGCAATAAAGAAGAACAAGTAGAATACAAGATATAACAAATTTTGAAAGTAGAGACTGAATCATATCATACTGTTTTAACATTAGTCACCATCCACAAACTAAATTCGAATTAAATGACTAGAAATCGTTGAAGCATATTCAAAGGAAGCCAACATGTCAAACTGCGATCGAAAACTTCGGTCGAATCAATCGCCGGGAAAATTTAAAGCTGAATTAAATAAATCTGTACACGGAATTTTAGTTGAAATATCTTTAACGGAATAATTGTTTCGAAAATCTCTCCTAGACGATCTGATCACAATATTTATTCTTATTTAGATATTACAACTAGCTTTGAAATTATCATCCGTTTCCCCCGCCCCCCCCCTAGGCTGTACATCACTATACTGACATTTACATATCATATGTTGATATGATCCTTATTAATTGCCTTCATCCGTTTTAAATCTCTAGTACAAATGCCTTCCTTTTTAGTTGTGTGTACATTGATAATGTGTTATTTTAAGACTGCGATTTTGTTTGAGTGCGTCATGACCATGCTGGGTTGTTGGAGTGTTAATTCTTGTGTGGGTTGAGTTTTTAATCTCACCATTTAATCTCAACATTCTACTTGATTCTAAGTAACTCGCTTTGACCCTAGAAAATCACCATGTCTGTATAGCTGCCTAATGGCGCTGTCAAGTTAGCTTTGTGTTTTTGATGTTAACAACGCATAACCGCTTTCCTGTCATCCATGGAGCCTTTTTTATTACAGTGCGTCGTATCTCAGCTATAAAGTATGATACACTGATCGGTTTCCTGCGTTCAGACCACACCAAGTCGGTTTTTGTTAGGTATAGTATTTTTCTTGAAATAAATGCTATGTGGAACACCAAGAAAGGTCAGAGGAAAGACATAATTCAAGGCATCTAATTTTCAATGCATTTCATGCCGCAAGAATTATAGGAACGAACCAGTCCTTTTTAAAAATCACGTTTTGTGTCTGAAAGTGAAACTGGCAATCTGACGTTTTCAGGGGTTTAACTTAAGCATATTCAACACCGGCTACTGACTAATTTGTGATGAAAGCATTATTTATTTTGAAACAATTTGAGTGAAGTATGACCGACATACGTTGCTAAGTTGGCTACATGAGAATGACTCAAGTAGTGTAAGAAGAAATAAGACAGAAAATGAGTGAGAAAGGCATCTTACTATAACCTTTTGACTTTTATTCTATGCAAGTAAATGACGTCAACTTCAAATAAGAGGTTTGGTTAACTGGATACTCATTTTCTTCGCTTGCTTATTTGAAATACGTCATATATTCTTGAAGTCTATTGGTGGATAGTGACTAGCAGTGTAGAATCCAGGATGCGCATTTCGTCTTTTTGGGACTCGTCAACTGGATATGCCTGCACTCTCCACTGAATGATAATGTTCGCACGGAGGCTTGAACCCAGTGCCGATGGTTTCATACGTCAAAGCATTTAGTCATATTTGGGACCAGACATCATCGAAGCATCTACACAAGGATTTGATATGAGATCGAGCACTTCGCTGGAGTCAGTCGCCAGGAAAATCTAAATTCAGTTAAATATATCCGTATATTCTGCCAATATCAATAAACCACAAAATAATTCAATTTGGTATGATACAGTAATTTCAGCAAGTCATTCATTTTATAACTTATTTTACAATCGACCTTCTCTTTTATCATCAATAATTTAATGTTCAGTCGAAATAATTCCACCACTTCGTTTTAATAGTTCAGTTAGCGTGAAAAAGAATTTGAAAAAAACAGGCGCCATGTTCAAATATCGAAAATTGCAGTTTAATCTGATTAAATTCTTCACATATACAGCACGATCCTTTCGGTGAGTTAAAATTTAGCGAACTATCTGAAGTATGCCTTTTTTAGAAAAAGACCATTGTAATAGTACTCCCTAGTCATTTACAAACAGAAAAGACAATGTACTTGCTCTTACGCTATATCATATTTACGATGTTGGCGTCAGATGTTGCTGTACCCTTGGATTTCTATTGGAACTTAAGGCTTCATTCAACAGTACACCTCTACATCTTAAGCTAGTTCTATGACTGACCGTAAGCTGTCACCTCCTGCTTACATGTTCTCCTCCACGTCATTCTCAAACCCTTGCCCGACTTGTCGCTTCCTATTCGGGTCCCATTGAATGGGTCGGTACCTGATGTAACTCAGTAGTCTGCTGAATGTGTGCTCGATCCACCTCAATTTCATCCTACATATTTACTAAATGATAAGTTCTTGGTTAGTTTGCTCCAACAGTTTTTTGCTGTTAATTCTTTCCGACTGGCCGCTCGATCTTCAATATGTAACGAAGGCATGTGTTAGTAAAAGTCTGAAGCCTATTCGAAATGCTTTTGTGGACATGTATGTATGTGCCAACTCTCTGAACTGCTTGGAAGAACCGACCGATTTAACGTTGGCTCGGAAAATGCACAGCTTATTCTTTATACTGATTGTAGAATATTTCTAAACTGGTTTCAGAGTGACGAATATCCGTTTCACCTTTCCGATGCTGACTGGGTATGACATTCTGATCCGTTTCACCATATGTAGTTGAAACAATGGTTCCTCTTTCAAGTTTCCTTCTTTAATATTGTTCAAGGCTTCTTGTTTTTGTTTTTTTGGTTGGTTAGTTGGTTATTTTCATCACCTCCATTGTATCTATGGCGTTTACTTGAATTCTTGTCTTTGATGTGTGAACATCCTGTCTGAAAGTTTTAGAATTTACGTGACATTAGACATAAATCATCGGTGAAGTTCTTCTTCTTATCGTCCCGACATATTCCCATCTTCTTGCTTCCCACCCACAGTATACTGCATAATTGAATCTGTGGCGAGAGCTGGCTGCTAGCCAAAATTGGTAGATAGTAATTTACATAAATGTGTACGTCCCCAATATTAACAATGAGAAAAGTAAGAACAAAGACTGACTCAATAACCAATCACAGAAGACTTTGCGTATGCAGATACAATTTGCAGATAGATAGTCTGAACTTCAATAAACTGCCAAAAAGAGATGAAAGATTAACGTTCAGTGAGAAACCACCAATGAGAAGACTGTGTTTGTTTGCTTACAATAGTCTATAATAATATACATGGAAGTCTATAAATACGTGTTGATTTCCTAGATAAAGGATCTGTTTCCTGGCCCTTGTCTTCTGTTGTTACAAAAAAAAACTGCAGCCAGGAATATTATCGATTATAGTAGTCAGCCTGATTTCACTCATGTCTTTACTGCAAAGACTTAGCTGAGTTTTCCGGCTTGAATCACTTGAATGAGGTCGATAAAGACTTGGGGCACTTCATTTCATAGTGTTGAAATGGTCTCCGAACTACTTCACAGTCGACGTTGGAAGTCAATGAAGTAGAGATAGAGGATTGGCTGCAATTCTATGCGTCATAAGTAGTACTGATGTATTTCATTTACCTTAATATGGCTAATCAATAATTATCAGTTTGAACACTGCTAGATAGTACAGTTTTATTCCACTATGCTCATCTTATCTCTATAATTAAAAGTTACGTGTCATTTTACGCTTAAATTGGATAGCTCTAACGTTTCATTATGGATAAGACTTTATTTTGATAAATCACACATTGTTATCATTATTGTTCCCTTGGGTTCCTAGTGGAACATAGGGCTTCAACTTCACGTCTCCACTTGCCACTTCTGTCTTCTGCTGTACTTCTCACCTGCATCCATGTTAGTCCATATTCTTTCAACTCCTCTTCCCCTTTTTCAGGTTCCACTCGAGCAATGGCCTGACGCGCGCGTGATGTCACCCAGCGGCCTCCTCAGTGAGTGTCCAATCCATCTCCTTTTTTCCTGCATATTTGTTGGTTGGTGATCGATTCTTGTTTTGTTTGTTCCTTCCCATAGTTTCTTGTTGGTGATTCTTTTCGGCCCGGCCATCTGATCTTCAGTATAGAGCCAGCGAAGACAGTTGTTGGTTGATGAATGTCTGCAACAGGCTGTTGGAAATATTCTTTGTGACCCTCCAAGTCTCTGTCTGATCCGTTTAGAAGAACTGACTTGACATTTGTATTGAAGATCCAAATTTTGTTGTTGATAGTAATTGTTACATATTGCACACATTGGTACAAAGTAATACTAACTGATGACGTTTCGAGCACAATTTACTGCTTGTAATCACAAGTTGTGTGGGTAGTGCCTTGATGGGATCATGAGCAATAATTTGTGCTCGAAACGGCATCAGTTAATAATAATAATAATATGTAACACTGTGTTACTTATCAAAACAGAATCTACTCTACCATAGTGACTAAGTCTTATACTTATACCTCTAACGTTTTAAATACACCTTTACTTAGCCATAGAGGGAGATGTTCCCAAGCAAGCATGAAAAATCAAGTTTATAGAACAACGGCCGAACCAACTCGCTCCACCACAAGCTCATTTGAATTGGAAGATACAATTAGAAGTGGATAGTCTAGGTACTTCATCTTTCAGTTGTGGAATCACCATCGGTAGTGTAGAGAATAAGACGTGAAGTTCTCCAGCATTTAAAGTTCTTTGAGCTGATTATCTCAACTTCTTCGTAATTATTTTGCTTGGTATATTGACCTTGAGTTGCAGTCGTATGTATAAAGGCTTCTTGTTTACGGGTAGTGAGTAGTCCTTTTCCGCGTTTTTTTCCATGTGTTTCTTGATACATTTGTCAGGATAGCTATTTTCAATCAAAAAATTTCATAAACACTTTTTAGTTCATCTTCAATTACCTCTTCTGAGAATATAGCTCTAACTCTGTGGGTGAGGGTCTTGACTAAATTTCTTTTGTACTTGAGAGGAAGGAAGCTGTGAAAATGTTCATATTGCCTTGTTCATGTGCTTTTCTCATGTAAATTATTCTTTATGCTACCATCTGGTTTTCTTGTAAGGAGTACATCCAGGAAGGCAATTCTATTTCGGGATTCCTCTTCGCACGTGAATTTCATAGCCGAATGTACTTTATTGAAATCAGTAGTTATTGTACTCCTATAGGAATCATTATCACAAAGAATGAAGTGGTCATCCATATAATGGCAATACAATGAGAACTTTCTGATAGGGTTGTTCAGAAGTCTGTTTTCTTGTTTACCTAGAAAGAAATCAGCCGAAATGGACCTTAATAAGGAGCCCATCATCACGCGGTTCAGTTGTCTGTAAAGTGTGCCGTCTAATTTGAAATTTACATTCATGCTACACCTTAATAACAGTTCATTTAGGATACCAACATTTATCGACTGGTTATACACTTGTTCACATATGTAGTAAACTGTTTCTAGTAGAGGTACGTTTGTGAATAAAGATGTTATGTCAAAAGATATCATGGTTTTGCCCTTGATATTAATATCTTTGATTCTATCTAAGAATTCAAATACACCTTTGGCATTACATTTCACTATCTGCTCATGCAAAGGTCTGAGAATATTTACATAGCTAGAGCATGGTAGGGCGAATTTCGCATATGAAGTATTGTTCTTAACGGTACCCACGGTTTATGCACTTTAGGTAGGCTATGTAATCTTGGCGTGTACTTGTCCGTCGGCCTGATTTCTTCATATAAACTTTCAGAAAATATCTGTTCCTCCCTTAGTTTCTTCAAATGTCTGGTTAATTCATTCTTATTTTGTTATTGAAATCTTTCTTCACCTCAAGTTTTTGAAACTTCTGTGTGTCCTCCAGTATATTATTCATCTTTTTTACTGTAGTCACTTCTATCAAGGAGGACCATTCCTGATTCTTTATCCGGCTTTGTGATTATCAGTCTCTCACCATTTATCAGTTTCTTTAGTCAAGGAACTTTTACTGTCGCATTTGATGTTTTTGTACTGATAACAACAATCCACTAGAGTGGACTTGAAGTCTTCTATTTTCAGGGTGGATGATGGAACTAGATCGCTTGTTTGACTAAATAGACTTTCAAATTCAATATCAGTATCTAAGTGATTGACTCGTTTCCGTCTGTCATTAAGCTGATGATTTTAACATTTTGATAATTCAAACTATTTTTATTCTAACACTTTATTTAGTGATAAAGGTTAACAGAGATTGAAAATGTTGTCACCACTTCCCCTGATCCAACTTACTTACAATCGATTCAGCTCATACAAAGCATCGCTTGAAATGAGGAATAATTGTTGAACATTTGGGTACAACACCGTATCTTGATGCTGCTTTACTGCCTGTTATCATCATCATCATAATAATAATAAGCTCTTTTCGGACATCTGACTCTTCACCCAAGCAAGATCCGTGCTAAATATAGAACCGCTGGGATTTTTATATTTTACCGTACGAGCAGCATAAATTATTGCGAGATTTCTTATGGTTTTCGTCAAAGTGACACAAGCAAACAGTTACACATCGGAAGGACATCTGGTATCTAACAAATGACTTTATCTAACCGCTTGTTTGAATTAAAATGCTTACTAAGAACACTGCTGGCTAGTTGAGTCAAAGACATATCACTAACCTTGTATGTAGCCTTCCGTGTTCTACGTAATATGAGGTGGTCTTTTTCTGAGAGGTCCAGGGAAGAATAAGAAAGGAAGAAGATAGGAAAATGGACAGACTACACGATTTAATAAATAGCATGGGAAGAGTCCCAGTTCAGCCATAAAATCTCAACTAAAATATTTTCTTAATGGTCAACATCATGTGAGACAATTGACGAAGATCTGAACAGAGAAAATAGTCCCAGGATGGATAATATTCGATTTTTTTTCCTATCACAGTGCCGTCGATCATGGCACTAAATCCGTCCGTGTGCAAGTCTTGTTAACTTTCAAAGCTAAAATATAAATTCTCGCATTTAGAAAGATTTAACTTATTGCTATTTGATTAAGACCATGCGTTTACATCAGATAACAATCTATCCGATAATAAAGAAAGTCTGTTGCAGAAAAACTACGACACAAAAACTGTCATATCGTCAGCGTATTTATTGAATTGCTAGATTAGGAAATCCTCATCTTAAAGAAGATTTTCTTCGTTATTTACATCTTTTCTTATGACTCAATATGGAATATTTTGTTGATGGGGGAACTCCAAAGATCCTGTAACAACGAAGGAATAGGACAAATTCCTGAGTTTTTTCCACCACACTTTCTGAAGTCAACATTGAGCTTAATTTTTTAAAGCGATGCCTGAAATTATGCATGAGTATCCAAAACAGAATTGGAAGAATCCTCGTGGAAATCACATTTACCCTAATTCAAAGATGTTGAAATGTTATAAAATAAACCGCATAGACACCATCCATTTACGCTTCCCCGAACTTGAACGCAACATTTCTAAAAGAAACCATGTTTTATATGAACTATCTGATGATGAATTACAAACGTTTAAGACTTATGTATCCATTTTCATACGAGAACGTTGCGACAATATTACTTCTCGACTGAGGAACCATTTAAAACTGTCTTGTCATTTCCACAGAATGGAATTTTCCCCTCACTCCTATTCAAATCCAAGTGTTATCATTTAGTCCGACATTTTACAATGTATCGAGTAAAAGTCAACAAATAACAAACCACGATCGATTTTGAGAATTTAATTTTATAGATAATTAAAAAAACCTGACTTACAGAGCTGCCCAAACCCAAGGTAACCAGCATAGAAAATAACAGTATGCACCATAGATGTGAAAGAGATAGTGTACTAAATACACTTGTATAGCCATGAATATAAGGCCCAAGTCTAAAAGAAACAAATTTAAGAAATGTCCAATGTCAATAAAGATTTTTATGAATTGCAAAATAGTAAACCAAGTTATGATAAGAAAAGAAGAATACACTATACGATAGTTTACCAAATGTTTCCGCTTTTCAATGATTAAAAATAGTCTTTTAGTCTTTTCAGTAAATTTGGATAGAATTATTACAAAACGGAACTTATCTGAAAAATGTGACGTATCCGCGCCGGTGGCACAGCGATAGAGTGCTGGCCGACGATGCAGGGGTCCAGGGTTCGATCCCTGACCGACTCACTTCTTTACGTCGGTAAGCCATCAGTAAGACTGGTAAAAAGATAAGGTTGAGCATAACGCTAGCAACCCCATCCTGTAAAAATTATCGCCACTGCAACCGAAACTTCAAGCTAGAGTCTGTTAGTATGATCAGATAGGGATTACCAAGACACGTCAAGGTTAACAACGTTCCGAGTGGAACAAAACGCCTCAACAGCACATCTCCATTTCTAGTTCTGTTCTCTACATTCCTTCTTACATGACCCCATGAATGCGCATAGGCTTTCATCTTCACCATATATAATCTCTTCCATATCACCTTCAGACACTCACCAAATCCGTTTTTTTCCCATTTATCGCCCGAAGGTCTCCTCAGTGTGTCTCCAATCCATCTCCATTTTCTTGGGAATATATGTTGAGCATTAGGTTCTTGGTTGGTCTGTCCTTATAGTTCCTTGTTGCTAATCCTTTCTGCAAACTTGATGTTCAACACTCGACTGTTGATAAAAGTTGGCAGTTGGCTGTTCGAAAAGCTATTCTTGACGTTCAAGTGTTGGTTTGTAGGGATTTGATTGGTTATAGGGTTTTATCATGACTTGACATTGGATAGAGAACCATTGGAAAACTTGCAGGGAATACTGTACAGTCAGCTGTTCCTCCCGTCCTAGTTTGTGGCTCTTCATCAGTATGCACCCACCGCAACGGTTCAAAACCGGGACCTTCTGGTTACAAGGCGAGCTAGCTCGTAGAACATTGAGCCACTGGGACCCGATCTAATAGCCAGCACATGAATTCTAACTCCTGCCAATTCACGACATAGCGCGATCCCTAGCCAATATCATCGGCGAGAATTTGTCTTCATACACGAACTGCTGCACCCTACTGGTAACGACTTATCACTAGAACTCAAGGTAACTACCTACCTGAATAGGACAAGTCGCTAGTTAGGTAGTTATCTGGGGTTCTAGTGAGAAGTCGCGACCAGTAGGGTCTAGCAGTTCGGGTGTGAGGATAATGGGGACGTGAAATGTCAGTGCAATGTATGAGACTGGGAAGGCTGCCCAGGTAGCCTAAGAAATGCGAAGATATGGTATGGAAGTGCTGGGAATCCGCGACAGCGTATGGAATGGATGTGGATTATCAAAATTGTCAACTGGAGAGTCAGTAATCAACTCTGGTCTGGTCACCCAGACGACAATCAAGAGAACATTCAGGAAGTAGTGAGTGATTATCATGATGTCACCAATAATAGCCAAAGCTACCACAGCTACAATAATTTGTAAATGTCAGGCTAATTAATACCACGGGCGACTCAAAATCAGTTTTACAACGAAATAAAAAACCTGGAGTCTTCTGGCTTCTTTTCTTTTGGACTCACTGTACATACATCCGAGTAAAGTTTTCTGGTGTACTGTACAAACGCAGTCGGATCATTAGTTTGGATGAATTATTGTGCTCCTGAGTTGGCGGATCACATTATGAACTGCTTATCTGTCACATCCCAGACACCAGAAACTGTGATAAAAGATTATTGACTATATCACAGCTCTGTTGATACAAAAATTCCTGGATTCTATTTTCCTATTTTTATATGGTGTCATCTTGATGGAATAGATGTTGACAAAACTATATAAGTGAAAAACCACTCGGACTCTAAAAATGTCAATACTAATTTTATTATAGCAAAATTATTCATTCAGATATCTATAAAACACAAAATAATCGAGCAAAGAACATTCTTTTCGATAAATTCCTCTTGTGGCTCCACAATTATATACATGTTTATATACAAAGAATATTCAAGGTTTGGTAGTTAATAACAATATTAGTGTTTTTTAAATGAACAAAATCCATTCGTAGCGCTATTTTGTCTCATCTTGTGGATACAGAGCATAAGATTGATGTTAACCAGGCTTTTAGTGTTATTTACCGGATACCAACAAATCTCACCTTCGCCTTGAGAGTTCAGTTACTAAAAATTGCTGAGGCTGTTGGGATCCACATTAAAAAGCCTAATTTGTGCGTCTAAAAGAAGTTAGTTCAGACGCTGTCCTTACCTTGGCCATCTAGGTTTGAATGATTCTCAATTTTTGTGGAAATTTCCTAATTTTAGTTGATATTCTATTCGCTATTATATCTTTATTACTACTATAATTTAAGTATCTTTAGTGTACTGTAGTTGCATTGGTTAATACTTTACAAATCGATGTTATTTAAAAAACACTAATATTGTTATTAACTAACTACCAACCTTGAATATTCTGTGTATATAAACTTGTATATAATTGTGGAGCCACAAGAGGAATTTATCGAAAAGAATGTTCTTTGCTCGGTTATTTTGTGTTTTACTAATTTTATGTTCCTTATAAAGGCTAATAAAAATGAATATGACGGTTGTATTTTAGGCTACTGAAATGGGGTAGTTCTGTCTATATCTTCTGTTATGTCCTATAAAGATTTGTTTTACTATTATTATTATTCCTTCTGGTTCCAAGTGAAATGTAGACCTTCAGAAGTACATCTGCCTGCAGTCTTTCTATAACTAACACCATGATTACCTGTAAGCTTGCGCTTCCCTATCACACGATCTCTCAGACGCCAGTTGTCTTTCCCCAGTCCAGTTTTACTTGAAGGCCTGGTGCATGGTGACATTCAGTGGTCTGCTCAAAGTGTGTCCAGTTCATTTTCATTTCCTACTACATATTTGTTGGAAGATGGGTCTTTCGTTAAGTTGCCGCTAGGTTTTCTTGTTCCTAATCCTTTATAGCTGACCATCTGTTCTTCAGTATAGAGTATTGAGGTGCCCGGAATAATGCACATCATGACATTTCTGGGATTCGATACATTTTGCTTTTAGAAATAAACAGTCAACAAACTATCATCAAGAGTGATTGGTTGTCATTTGGATTTATTATCAAAAAAATGATGTCAGCTTGTTTGTATGTGCTTTCTGATTCAGCTATAAGAAATCTATAATGAAATCATTGTAAATAGTTCAATACTACATTCAGGTATGTGGAGGATTTGATCCTCCCATAAAAAGGAAATCAGATCATGTTGTGATTACAGCTGGCTGCTAGCCAAAATTGGTAGACAGTAATTTACATCAGTGTTTGCGGTCCCAATATTGGTCATGAGAAGAATAATAACAAAGACTGACTCAGTAACATATCACAGCAGAATTTGCGTAGATAGATACAATTTGCACATAGATAATCTGATCTTCAATAACCGGCCACAAAATAGATAAAAGATTAACGTTGAGCGAGAAACCACCAATGAGAAGACTGTTTGTTTGCTTAAAATAATCGATAATAATGAAGATGGAAATCTATAAATATGTGATGATTTCGTAAATAAACGATCTGTTTCCTGGCCCTTGTCTTCTGTTGTTACATTTGGTGTCACTGCCTATCGATAAATCGAAAGCCTATTCCCTGCAGTTTTTGATGAATACGTATGGATCTTCGTGTGGGACTTCGAGTCTTCTGCGCAGTTGAGTGGCGTTCAAGATCTGTTAGCGAAGGGGCTGCTACTTGGGATGCTGCTAGGAGGTGGGAGGAAGCAGCATATGAAAGTGTGCGGCGGAATACTGACGAATGTGTGACATGGTCAAGCAAACAGTTTCCAAAGTGGTAAGGACCACATATGGTCACTTTGGGATGGGGTTACCCAGACACAATCGCAATGGTAAACAAGCAGAAACAGGTAAACATCAGCGAGCACTGAGATTCCAGACAGCAGGACGAACGATTAAAGCCCTAGAACCAAGAAGACCGAACCAACTTCGGTCACAAGTCTTTGACGGGGGGACGAGTGTGGTGAGAGCTAGCTGCTAGCCAAAATTGGTAGACAGTTATTTACGTCAATCTGTACTTTCACAATATTGGTCGTGAGAACAATAAGAACAAAGACTGATTCGGCAACCACTCACAGCAGACTTGGCGTAGGCGGATACAGTTAGCTTGTAGATGATCTGAACTTCAATAAACGGTCACGAACAGATGAAAGATTAACGGGAAACCACCAACCAGAAGACTGTTTGTTTCCTTAAAATAATGTATAATATGTACATGAAAATCTATAAATATGTGTTGATTTTGTGAATAAACGATCTGTTTCCTGGCCCTTGTCTTCCGTTGTTACAATATCTTTACAAATCAGAGACCTAAAGAATGACTTTATTCTGATGGGTATGAAATACTTTCCAACTGTGACATGCACTTCAATTTACACTCAGAAACAAAATATGTCATCAGCATCTTGTTCCTCATCTATTTCAGCATAGATTATGCCTCAAGCAGGTGCTGGAGACTCAGGACCACTGAATGGCAGTTTTCGTTTAGGTATAAATAAACAACTTGCAGATTACAAAGCCAACATTCTACTATTAGGCCAACCAATAAATTACTGGTGATTCATTTCAAGTTTGACCTGAGATTGACATTAGTTAGAGAACCGTTGAGAACTAAGAGTACTGGACTGCTCTTTTGTCCTAGTTTGTGACTCATGGGGAGTGCACATCTACCATGGTTCGAACCTAGGACCACTCACAGACCATTCAGCCATTGGAACTCGACTCAGCAGCCCATTCATTCTACTACCTTCTTGATTATAGCACAACGATAACGATTCATTATTTCCAAGCTATTGAAAAGTGAGCTTTGGTTGGAAACAAGGTTAGAATGACTTTTAATGGTTTCAAGGGATTTATTTTATTTATTTTATTTTTTTAGATTTACAGCTTGATTCCACACCGTATTTTTGGTACAAGTATGGAATTTTCAGCATGGATATCGGTAGCCCAAATTTTGCAGGCCGACCATAGATATCAGGTGTGCGCCGGCGTGGGCTCGAACCCTGGACCATGTGCATGGTCGGTGAGAGTCCTAACCACTGTGCCACCGACGCACATAGATATACATTCATAGTCTCAGCTGTCAAGTATTTAGATAAGACATTATTTCACCAGTGCTTCGCTTGAAAAGAATTCTGTTAAATGTTAGATCAGTGAAGAAAAAGCTATTTGCAGATTGATGTTTCGTGCGAACAGACCAACTTCGAGTTATTTCTCTTAATCACGAGAAATGCCAATATTATGCAATACACTTAGAACCTAGAAGCGGTCATATTACTTTCTGCATTTCCTTAGAGGTATATATATATATGCGCTACGGAAATTCCTATGGTATACATTTTTGTACAAGAATTAATTATAATTTATTTTCCTTAGGCAGCCGAGCGTGAAGAAATTAATCATTCTACGTGTCTGTCACGAGTCCACATTTTCAGCCTACTACTTTGGCTTTGTAATCATTTACTTTGAATAATTTTGGTGTCCACAATGGCTAGCCTGCTTTAAATTTATGCCTAATCTGATGATACAAGTATTATGAATGAGGACCTCAGTTGACTTCAAGAAAAATAAATTAGTACTTCCAGTCAAATTATGTATAATGTAGGCAATGAAATGATATAATGAGAAGTCTATTATGAGATAGTCGGCAAGAAGCCTTTGGCCTAGGATTCGTGCTTATAGGCAGTCACCAAGTGGTCAGCAAGTGGTCCATTTCCCTCCTGAGATTCAAACTCTCGTCACACAGTGGGTGCTGCAGTCGGGCTCACGAATAACTTCCAGGAGAACTGAGTGCATTGGATATTCTTTGATTGGACACTAGTTATTCACCAGTGTGAAGTGTCCAGTCCTTTGTCTGGAGCAGGAAACCCAGGTCGAAAGCTTCTTGTTGACTGTCTCCAACCATTTAACGCCAACAATTCACAGTGGAGCATGGTGATGAGCCAACTAATGTGGTGATTAGTTTGCAGGCTTGGCTAGTAGAACTCAGTTTACACCAAAACAAAGCAGTAGTCAGGCTACACTAATTACTGACTAGAATCCAATCAAAGAAGCCCAGAAGTGAAATCGTCCATGTTCCAAAATAATTTATGGAAGACAATGTGACTGCGTTTCAACCTGTTTCAAATTAATTGGTCGTTAACCTATTCATAAAACGTATACATTCTAAAAGGAGTTTGCAGTCAATTTTAAAGACGTTTTGTAAGACGAAATTTCACATTTGGTTTCCCTAAAAACAATACCGACAGAAAATGAAATAACTTGAAAATCCCCATTCAGTCATATAAAAGAAAAGAAGGCGTTCAGAGAAGAGACTTTTCGAGAATTCATTCACTGAGCTGTACAGTCGCATATATATGCAATTTTGTTTGTGTGTGTGTACATTAGATTTATAAAGTTTAGATAATTATGTAATGTAAGTATTATTTGGCTTGGAGACAAACGTTAAGATAGAAAATAAAATAGAATTGATTAAGTGAATTGGATGACGTAATACGGTTGAGTAGAATTCAGAGTAGGTCAGGTTGGCAACAGTGTTAATGAGTGGTGGTTGAAATTAAATAAGGGTGGGGTTAGAGAATAATACAGTTAAAAATAAGTACGTTAACCGGATGACGTAACATAGTTGACTAGAAATTGGACTTGGGTCAAGTTAGCAACATTGTTGATGAGGGTAGAGATTACAAAAGGGTGGGGTAGAGAATAATATAAATGAAGATGTGAAATAATAAAATGCAAAAGAATGGAAATAAGAAAGAATACGTCCATTGTAGATTTAATGAATGAACGAATTTCTTTTGTATGCAGAGTTCAGATTTAGCAGATGAATTGCCATTGCTTCTGCAATGTGAAGTTTGATCCGTACACTTTAAGCAAGATTGCCTTGTATTCTGTAGATAACTTTGAAGTTTATTTCTGGTTTGACTAGGTGTCCAGAGTTGATCAAATGTTCAAGAATCGAGCTGCGGGGCATCGGTTTTCTCCTTTATAAAACCATGAAGGTAAATGTTCGTTGACGCGTTTGGATAGCGAACGCTGAGTACGGCCAATATACCTGGTTCCATAAGAGCAGGTGAATTGGTAGATGCACATAGATGAGGCCAACAGCGGTAGCTTATCCTTCACGTTCATACGAAACTTGGGTCTCGTGGAGAACGTCAGTCGTAATTCAGCTGCAGGGAAAGTTTTCTTCAATGAGCGGGAGAGCCGGTTTCTCAGTATTCCTGTAGATTGGTCTCCATTGAACTGTAGGTTCATGTAGAGAAGTCTTTTTGGAGCACTGGGTGTCGGCGGCTTCTCTGGTCTAGGTTTCATTGATTTTGTGATAAATCTTTCTGGATAGCCATTTTCATGGAGGATTTTCTTAAGAGTGTTCATTTCATCTTCTATGAAATGTTGCAGCACGGAAGCGAACTGTGTCTGATCTATTGATCAGCTTAAATGTGTGTGAAGAAATTAGGGATATTTTCAGATTGGAACGCAGTGAGTGTGCTATCCACTCATCATTGAGATATCTTAGACTAATCATTACAATTTTGAAAACTTTACATTCAAACCAATCTATAAACTTATAGTCTACTGCGGCGATACTATTACTATAATGCCCTTTTTTCTATGTGGAACACTGGACTTCAACCACAAATCTCCATTTTACTCTTTTCTCTCCACCTATCCACAACTACCCACAAGGTTTCATCTCTTCTTCACATGGTCTCCTGTGTATCACTCTCGACTGTTCATCCAACTCATCGTTTTTTTCATTTAGATTCAATTTGAGCAACAGTCTGGCAGGTGATGTCACTCATCGGTCTCCACAGTGTGTGTGTGTGCCCAGTTCATTTCTATTTGCTTTCAACAAACTTGTTTTTCGAATGGTTTTTAGTCGGGTTTCTTTGCCAGAATTGCTTACTGCTGACCATTTCCGGTTGGTCATCTAATCTTTAGCATTGAGTAAAGGCAGTCATTGATTAAAGTATGTCCCAGCCTGCTGTCATTGCAGTCGGTGATACATGTGCCAAGTCTCTGAAACATATAGCAGAATTGATTTGACATTATTATTTTATTATAATTGTTTCCTTTAGCTCCTAGAGGAAAATAGGGCTTCAGCCGCACGTCTTCATTGCGTTAGGTGCTTTGCTAGAGTTTTCACCTGGCTCCAAGTCTGTCCACATGCTTTCATCTCCTCTTCACATCACCTCCTCCATGTCACCCCATACTTGAACTGACGACCAACTCGCCGTTTCCCGTTCGGGTTCCACTCGAGCAATGCTCTGGCGTGTGATGTGATTCACTTGATGGTTTGTTTTCTGAGAGTATGGCCAATCCAGTCCACTTCCATTTCTTCCTGTATGCATATTTGTTGCAAAATTGGTTCTCACTGGGTCGGTTCGCTCATTGCCAGAGATATCTTTTGCTGATATTTTCTGGCCTTCTTATGTTGGGCGAGGTGTAGAGCGAAGACAGCTGTTGATGAAGGTTTGTAGTTTATTTGAAGTGCTTTCGTGACGTGGTGTCAACTATCTGATCCGTATTTCAAGCAGCAATGATTTCACATTGGATTTGAAAATTTGGATCTCGTTTTTCGTCCTGAGTGCTGTTGATCTCCACACAGATTTGAGAGTAATAAAAGCTTTCCTTGCTTTCTGATCCTAGCTTTGATATCCTCGTCAGTTCCTCCTGTCTGTAGTTGAAACGATTCTTCCCAGGTAGGTAGTTGAAGGAGGTTGATTCTTTCAGATTTCTCCCATTTATACTGATCGTTGACTGCTGTTGTTGCTGTTACTGTTAGTCAGGAATCTTCATCACCTCTGTTTTCTTCATGTCCAATTGAAGTTCTACCTTTGATGCTTCTTCTGCGAACGTGTTGCTTTTCACTTGCATATATTCCAGTTTGTGGGAATTCAGACATATATCATCATTGGTGAAATCCAGATGCGCTAAGTTTTTGTGTGGGTCCATTTTATGCCTGTATCCTCGTTGCTCACTGTCTGTCGCATTATCCAGTCCATCGCTTGCAATCAGGAAGATCATTGGAGATAGTATAGGCTGCCAGCTTGTCCTACTACCGTCTTCACTTCTTCGAAGGATTCCGTGAGTTACCCGTTGTAGATTATTCGGCATGCAACATTGTTGTACGACTGTCGGATGAGGTGTATAATTGTTTGCGGCACCCGTAGTAGCAAATTAAATGCTAAATCACCTCACGATCGACGCTGTCGAAGGCGTTATCAAAGTCAATGAATTCGAGATGGACAGTTGACATTAGTCCTGGTAATCTGAATTTGTTCTTCATGCCTAGCGGAATAGATTTCCAAACTGATTTCAGAGTGATAAAGGTTTGTCTGTCTTGCCTCTTGCATTCTGATTTTGACATCTTCATTCATGCCCCTCGTTTGTAGTTGAAATGATGCCTCTTAGTTTATATAAGAATCGATGTCTAGCTACCTCCTGACTGCCTTCAGGGAAGCATTATCTGTACACAGAAGCACATATACACAGTATTTTCAATATTTTATGTTTCACTATTCCCTAGTCTGTGTTTTAATTCATACAAAAGAAAAGTATTCATTTAAACTCACTTCCATCAAATGTTTGATAAAGTGGAACATTTTGATACTTTGATAAATAACCCATGAATGAATATAAAGTTATAGTATTCAGGATACTAATGAACGCATTCATTGCAGTCGTTAAAATACAATCCACATAGGCTGGATGATCAACTTGATTGAAACTTCCGTAGGCTAAATGTACACCAAAACCAACACCCAAAGAGAAGAAAGCTTGGCTAGAAGCTGCGAACCATACCTGAATTTTAAAACAAAACGTAAAGTTTAAATACAAAGAAAGATAAAAAATTTATTTGATTGCTGAAAATTTCATAAATTTTACAAACAAAAGCGTTTCATTGGACACTAATTACAAACTAGTCCCTTGATTACTGCAGACTGAATTCTTTTGATGTGGTTGTGTTCTCGGAGCTGGATAGATAATTTGCGAAGTTTTCATCGCCCGTCCTACTAGTCGACATCTTCGGCGCATACTTCAGTCTGTTGAAGTTTAGATATCTCCATGAGTTTATTAATCATCTCTCCTGATGCGTGACCTTGGACGTGATTGGTTGTGTCATTTGTGTTTTTTCACAACTTCAAGGCTACTTGTATTGGAACTGATTGTTTCTTTGACTTTATCTTTGACCCTTTGTGTTTGAGGTTTGGACTTGGCCGTCTTAGTCAAGTGAACAACCACAGTGGAATTAGAAACTCAAGTTTATAGAAAATCAACTCACTCGGATCAAATCCTAAATTACAACGGCAACAATCCAGTAACACGCAAATGGAATTGCATACAAACACTATTCAAGAGGGCCAGTCAGGACTCATTGCAGCACTCCTACGCCTTAAGGAAAATTGAAGAAAGATATCTCACTGACGTCTTTCAAAGAATTGATATCCACGGAATTTCATCAAAAGACATATACCCCAAGTCAACCTATCAAGCCAAAAGCTTCCAAGGCAAACACAAAGAAAAACGCCCTTACCATATGTAAAGGATATCTCAGAAATCACTACAAGACTATTCAAACCTTTAGGAATAAATGTCGTGCACAAATCAACAAAATTACCCCACTCAGCTGGTTTTGTGTCAGTCAAAAGACTCAACAACGAAAGAAGATAATACCAAAATCATCTACAAAATAAATTATAGCAACTGCGAAAAACAAAACACTGGCCAAAGTCGCCGTCCCCTTAGTCTTCGTATCCACAAACATAAGCTATTCGTCAAAAGATATGATATCCACTCCCTCATATCGCTATATACAGACAACGGCGGACATCAATTCGACTGGGACAACCAGCGTTCCAATATTAGACAGAGGGGAAAACAAGAATGCTAGAGAATTTTCGGAAACCCGCTTGGTATTCCAGTGAATCATCAATCAATAGACACATCAAGATAGACAAAATTTATCGACCGATAAGAAAGAAACCTCACACACAGAGCGTCAAAGTTCAAGTCAAAGAAACTATCAGTCCCAATACAAGTAACCTAGAAGGTGTGAAATCACACAAAAAGAACCAGTCACGTCCAAGGTCATACATCAGGAGAGATGATTAATAAACTCCTGGAGAAATCAAAACGCTCATTTTAATAGATTGAAGTATGCACTGAAGTGATGTCGCCTAGTAGGGCGAAGGAAGCTTCGCAAATAACTAACTACCCAGCTAGCTCAGAGAACACAACCACATCAAAATCATCCACCTGAGCTACAAATCTTCTCAATAATATCTAGACTGAATTCTATCAGTCAAGTTTGATATGTAGTCACCATGCAATTAGGTAGCTCACCATCACGGTGCACTGTGAATCGGCAATATTAAGTGGTTGGAGGCAATCGGTGGAAGGCTTCGGCCTAGGTTTGGTGCTTACAGACACTCACCAGTCAGTCAGCAAGGCGTATCTGAAATCGTCAAGGAACTCATATCTCTCCTGAGATTCGAAACCGCGTCATCCAGTAAGCATCACTGTCAGAGACGTTACCTACCACTGAGCAATTCGGGGTTGCGACTGACCTCCTGGAGAACTGTATTGACATGACTGATAGAATTTTGTCTGCAGCAAACAAAAGACTCCACACATTACACTAGTATCCAGTTCCACAGGAGGTTATTAGTGGGCTCAAATAGCTCAGCGGTAACGTCTCTGACTGTAACGCTCACTGGGTGACGCGGGTTCGAATCTCAGAAGAGATATAAATTCTCTGAAGATTGCAAATATGCCTTACCGGCTAATGAGTGTCTGTAAGAACAGAAACCTAGGTCATGCAAGGCTTCCTGACAACTGCCTCCAACTATCTAATATCAACAGATGAAAAAAGTACTATAAAAGGGTAATGGATTTTCTGATGCAAATGAATCGTACACTTCTTATTATCCATTGACCAATTTTTGAGGCGTGATAGTGATGAAAACCTCCTAAACTTGCTTCCATGGATACGCTTATAACTACTGCATGAAGAACAATAACAAAATAATAGTAGACCATAGGCGATACCAAATGTTATACTTAGGGATTCAGTTTGTAAGCGTCCGAGTTCTTTGGGAACTGCTTAAAATACCAAAATAGATTTGTGCACGCATATATAGAAATAAACGCTCAAATGCAATGAAATCTAATGGGATATCTTTTAACATCCCTATTTACAAATGTATCTCTAATTGAAACGGTTAATCACATCTGTGAATTAAGGAGTAAAATGCCAATAAATATTGAGATCCCAGTAAAATTCCAACAGATAGGTAGATGAGATGGAAATGGGTACTCTATTAGGTTCAAATTTAGTAGATTTCTTCCTAACTTAACTTAAAAATGATCCTTTCAACAATCCAGTCAAGGTATTATCGTTCTGGTTACAGAATTTCATCATGAGCTGACATTGGTTAGGGGACCACTGAAAAACAGCTGTTTCGTCCTAGTTTGAAACTCTTCAGCAGTAGTAGTACGGATCCATCGGGTTCGAACCAAGGACCTTCTTGTTACAAGGCGAGCTCGTATACCGTTAAGCCACTGGGACCCGATCCAATGGCCCATGAACTCTAACTTCTGCTAATTCACAATATAACGCAACCGCTAGCCAATGCCTTCGGTGAGTATTTGCCCCTTCACACCCGACCTACTGCACCCTACTGGTCACGACTTGTCCGACAAATACTCGCAGAAGATATTGGCTAGGGTCACACTATATCGTGAATTGGCGGAAGTTAGAATTCATGGGCCACTGGATCGGGTATCAGTGGCCTAATGGTATACGAGCCCACCTTGTAACCAGAAGGTCCTGCGTTCAAACCGTGGTGTAAGGTGCGTAATACTGAAGAGTCCAAAACTAGGACGAAACAGCTATCCAATACTCCCTGGCAGATTTTCCAATGATTCTCGAACCAGTGTCAGCTCATGATGAGATCCTTTAACCAACCGAATCCCTACAAACCAACACATGAATATTATCGTTTTATTGCTGATATACGGATAGTTTGAACAGATGAACAATAATATCTTAATTCAATAAAGTACATTCAGCTTTCGAATTCGCCAGTGAAAAAGAATCCTTGATTACTGAATCTTTCCTGGTTAATTGAATCTACACACAACACATGCAAAAAAAATGACTCAATGCAAATACTAGAGATATGCATGGAAGATATTATTACGGCCAGTCAGTCAAATCACAGGAGGATAATAAATAATCTCAAAATTATATTTCAATTCACATACATCATAACATCCTAACAATCTGCTTATTTTATCTATAAAAACACTCGTCTTATTTCCCATCTGATTGTATGTGATTGATAACACTTATATTCGTTCCGAATGTACATTGTCTTATATTAATTTTGTTCAAAAGTCTGATCATCAATTTCACTCATGTATGTAAATGAAGCCAGAAATTTGTGTGAGTAGTACCTTGATAAGATTATGAGCAGCAGTGATAACTTGTGTTCGAAACGTGGGCATCAGTTAATATTACTATATAAGACCACTGTGTAATTTTATCAAAATAGAATCTTATCCATAATCTCAAGATAACATTGCCTTTTTAGACATTCTAGTGATCTGAAGACCAGAGGTAGCATAAAGAGGAATTTGCATAAGGAAATTACATTATCACAGCTTTCATTTGTCCCTAATATAAAAGAAATTGGGTAAAGACCCTCACCTGTATGATCAGAGATATTTATTTCGAAGATGCGGTTAAAGACGAACTTAAAGTTGTCTACGACACTTTAACAGAAAACAGCTTTCCACTAAACACATAACGAAGAATGTATAAAGGAATTCTGCTGTGTATGTCAATAAAAAGCCGCCATATATTCAAATAGAATTTACAAAATGAAAAAATAACCAACAAATTGAGAAAACCGATCCGAAGTACTTTTATTGCTGGTAGTTTACAGCCCACATTTTCCAAGCAGCTGGTTATGAATTCATCTCTTATTACATTTGTCAATTGAAATACTTCTGTGGAGCTCATGCTGGGGAAAATCTACCAGTGTGGTTGAATAAACCTTTTGTTAAAACCATTGAAAGGTCTACATTAGATCCCCTCACTCGAATAGGCTACAGTGGTAGCACTGAATAGCCTTTCTCTACCATCTATCGCGTATCGAAATAATTACCACAGACCTCTAAATACCGAACAGTCCAATCGCCAGAGGCTATCGCAATTCGTCTAAACCAACCGGAGCAGGTCTAGCCATTTTTCATACCCTGGCCTGATATTGAAATCTGATATACGCAGTTTAGTACCAAATAAATGCTTATTATTTTTCCCTTTCTGATACTTTTGAAATATAATCTCTCAATAGTATCGATTCAATGTAATTTAAACCAGCATTGACATTATAATAATAATTACAATAGTAACTCTTTAATTACTACTGCCACATAAATGCAGACCCTGCTAACGAATTTTTCAAAAAAAGTATTCCTCGTTCACTAATCAGTTTTCTGATTACGACTGTAAATATTATAAGTGTAACCGTATGTTTTACCGTACTAAAAGCCAGTGGTAATGTTGTGGTGACAGCTGTCTGCTAGCCAAAATCAGTAGACATCACTTTACGCCAAAGTTTTTGCTTCCCAAATCTTGGTCATGAGAAAAACAAGAACAAAAACTTAGCCTGGGCGGATACGACTCGTAGATATAATGGTCTGACCTTCAAAGAAACGGTAAGAAATAGATGACGGAATGATTTTCAATTGGAAAACAACCAATCAGAAGACGCTGCCTCTCTACAAACATTACTGCTAATAATAATGTACATAGAAATCTATATCTGTTGATTTTCTCAAGAAACGATCTGTTGAAGGGCTCTCGTCTTCTGTCATTAAATTGTGACAGTGTATAAGAACATACACTAAGCAGTATTTAGCACGAAATAAATGTTCCAGTTAACATCAGATAGGATCTAGTTAATCGTAAACAGCAACCCTGAATAGTTCATCATCAAAACACATGGCCAAAAAAGTAGAAAAGACCTCCTCTGTAGCCGTTAATAATGCCGGTAAATTACAGCTTATATTTTCCACACAACTCGTTGAGATGAAGCACTTAATAGGTTAGACACTTCTGATTGTATCTATTAGTCCAACTGCTCCTGTGGAGCCAGTTATATTGGCCATTGCTTTAGGAACCAGATTCTTCGTGCTAGCTTCGGCAAAATACCTACCAGTATGGTTAAATATGAGCGTTGTTAAAACCATCAAAAGTTCCATATTGGACCACTTCGTGTAAAAAACATGTCACAAAGCAAAAATTTAAGAATCCTTCTCTACCATCTATCAGAGATCACATTGATTACGAAAGGCCTCTATATGTCAAATACTTTAAACCTCAGATGCAATTTCAATTCGTTTAAATCAACCGAGGTCTGTGCGTAACAGAGGCAGGTCTAGCCAGTGTTGACACCTTGGTCTGCTGTCCAGTTCCTCAGTTCTGTGTTACTTCCTTTAATTAATCCAAAAGTTTGTTTTATATTAAGGCATATTATATTTCCCTCTCTTACTGATGGTTTTAAAATATAATCTTTCGACACTACTGATTCAATACAATTGAGAACAGCACTAATGTTCTTAACATCAATAATTCTGTAATTATTACAGTCATATAAATGTAGAAGCCAATGAAACATTCGTCAGAAAGAATATTCTCTCTCTAATAATCCATCTTTTGAATATAAGTGTGAACATAACCGTAACCATATGTTTCTCCACACTGAAAGTCAGTGGCAATATGACACTGCATAGGAGCATACACTGAGCAGTATATAACACGAAACAAATTTTCTAGTTAATAGCCGATAGAACCTAGTTGCAACCTAATCATTGGACAAAGCTGCCCATTGAAGAAATTAGTTTATCGTGTCAGTTATGCCTCACATCTACTATCTTTAAATTAAAAGGAAAAATATATAGACAAACAGAAGGTGTAGCAATCAAATCACCAATATCCCGATTCGAAGCGGATATATTTATGGACAGCTGAGAAAAATATTGCTCTGAATACATTTAATCCTACTCCAAAGATAATATGGTGGAGATATTTGGATGATACTTTCACACACTGTTAGAAACAGAACATATCTCCAGTTTCTTCATACATATAAACTCACTGATGCTTATAAAAAGCCAACTCAATCTGCTAATAGATATTTAGACTTTAATTCATCTTATGCGTTAACTGTTAAGGCAGGCTTAGTTAAGTGTTGAACAAACCGAGCAGTAGCACTAAGTAGCACAAGAAAAGGCCTAAATGATGAACTAAAACAGATAGAAGAGGCTTTGGTGTTAAATAACTATCCTATACAATTCATTAGGAAGATGAGAAGGGTCAAATGCAAAATAAAAGTGATGCTGAAAGTAACAATGATAACATAAATAAGAGAGAATATATATGGCATCCTTAGCTGTACCATATAAGGAGGGGACATTTGGGACCAGATCGTACGTACGACTCTCAATAAAGCAGGAATTAAGGTGGCATTCAAACCTACAAATTCACTCAGGTAGGACAAGCTCTGTAGGCTAAAAGACCCCGTCGGTGGACTCAGGTAAACATAATAATATAATTTACAAAATACTTTGTAATAACTACGAGTTAAGTGAACTACATAGGTCACACTAGTACACCGAGCAGGAGTAGTGAGGTTATCAGAACATACGAACTCAGCTAAGGTTAGAATGATTGACCCTGAGAAGATAAGTAATTTAGAATAAAGCTGAGCACTGCATTTTACTGAATGCATTAACATACAACTAAACAATGGAGTGGGAGAGGTTTAAAATTCTAAGAAGTAATATACGTAGTTTGAGAGAGATAGAGATCGATCACTGAATCCTTGTTCATCGAATAATCTACACCCAACAAGTACAGTAGGAATGACTCGTCACTCATACTGGAAATATGGAAGATAATACTGCCAATTATATCAAGCTATGACAAATTACGGGATTGTATAAATGCTGTGGCTTTTGAAAATTTTGGACAGTGGTATCGAACCTCGGTAGGAACATCATCACTGACGCATATAAAGTCACCAGTAACGAGAATTAAATTCACATTTGAAGCGGAAAATGAACAAAGGAGAATTAGCTATGTTAGACTGTAAAATAGAACGAATAGAAGAAGGTAAACTACACACTAGCGTTTGAAAAAGCCAATACATTCTAATAGACAGCCTGACGTTAATTCATCTCATCTGTTATCTATCTGTGAACGTAGACTTAGTTAAGTGTATAAAGAACCGAGCAGCAGCACTAAGTAATACAAGAAATTACCTAATTGATGAAATGAAACAGACAGAAGAAGCATTGCGGTTAAATAAATAACCATCCTATAAAATTCATTAAGATCAAAATAGTAGTAAGCAAAATGAAAGTAATGGTGAAGCTACCAATGATAACATAAATAAGAGTGAATATAAGGTATGTACCGTTAAACCACATAAGGAGGGGTAATCTGAGACCAGCCCCTATGTAGGATTCTCAATAAAGCAGGAATCAGAGTGACATTTAAACCTACAAACTCACTCAGATAGGACAAGCTCTGCAGACTAAAGGACCTTGTAGGCTGACCCAATTATACAATATAATATAACTTGCGTCAAACAAGTAGATCGGGTGTAGTAAGATTGTCGGAACATAAGAATTTAGCTAGGATGAGAATGATTGATTCAACGGAGTTAAGTAATTAAGAGAAAAACTCAGCACTAAATTGCACTACATGCATTAACACACAACCACACACAATAGGGTGGGTGAAACACAGTCAAAATTCAAAACAGGAATATAAGTAGATGGAGAGAGAGAGACAGTTCGATTACTGAATCCTGTCTGGTTCATCGAGTCTGCACACAACACAATACATGCGACACAAATGACTCAACACAAATACCAGAGATCTGCATGGAAGATATTATTACCACCAGTCAGTCAGTCAGTCAGTCAAATCACAGGAGGATAATAAATAATCTCAAAATTCTATTTCAATTCACATACATCACAACATTCTAGCAAGTTGGATATTTTGGCTATAAAAACATCTTATTTTCCGTCTTATATTATGTGTATAAAGCCAGAAAGTTGTGTGAGTGGTATCTTGATGTGATTATGAGCAGTAATAAATTGTGCTGGAAACGTGATCATCAGTAAATAGTGCTGTATAACACCACTGTGTGATTTATGAAGATGAAATCTTATCTCCTGATGGAATTATACTCTACCACCACAGTGTCCAAGTTGTATACTTATATCGATAACTACAACTCTATTTGCTTTGATAATAAAATTTTTATGAATTCCAAGGTAAAATAGTAAATATTCCAAAATACAGTTTGAAAAAGAATATAGAAGAGTCCATAAATAAAAATAAGTAATAACTCTGTTTTCGAAAAAAAAAACTTTTTATTCCTCAAGTATCTTTAAGAAGATATAGAAAGGATTAAATATCCCATAATAATATGAAGCTAAAATTTGTTTCTATTTAAAGCCATATATATATATATATAATATGTATATATATATATATATATATATATAATACAGTCTGCAACCTCGAAGCCTTTGCAGCTTTAATCTCAGTGGATAAGGAAGAAATCTAGTCAGAAAAACAACTACTCTTAATCATCAGATGCATAATGAGATAATAATTTGAACAATACTAATTCTTATATAATTAACCTTCCTCATTATTGCCCGCCTGTAAAACATTATCAGACTAAAATTTACCCGAAACCCTTTATTCTTAGAGTCACCTCTTTAATACATCTATTTAATAAAACAAAAAAGTTAGGTATAATATACAAGAAGAGCAAGACGAACTTACATCCCAGTCCAATAGTTTACCAAATGAAGGATTGAGAAAAGTTTTAATGCCGTAAAATGCATTTTCCAGGGTTAATCCCCTAATAAGTAGAATCGCGATAGCAAGATATGGTACGCATGCTGTTATCCAAGAAACCTAATATGCAGGCAAAAAGGAAGAAAATAAAACAAAACTCATCAGTATGAGATCATTCTAAAGTGATATATTGTCTAAAATTAAACGGTTTGTAAATAGAGTAACACATATCTGTTATTATGTAATTACAGGTAGGCAAACATTATTAACTAGGCTTAACTTGACTCTTTTTTTAAAAGGAACTTTTTTGTCAATGGCTTTGAGTAGGTAAAAAGGTTTAAATGGTGAGGGAATGCATATCCATGGAACTGCATCAAGATACATCTACTCCCAAGGTAACCTACTAAATCAAAGTCCTCCCCCCCAAAGGAAACAGAAAGAAAATTACTCTGGCATGTATGAAAGACATCTCAGAAATTGCATGAAGGATTTCATCATGAGCTGACATCAGATAGAGAACCAATAGAAAGCCTTCAGGGAGTACTGGGCAACTGTTTTGTCCTAGTTTGGGACTCTCCATTAGTATGCACCCAGCAGGGTTCGAAACCAAGACCTTCTGGTTACAAGGCGAGCTTATAGACCATTGAGCAACTCACTGGGACTTGATCCAATGGTCCTTGAATTTCAACTTCTACCTGGTTCTCTAACTGATGTCAGATTATGATGAAATCCTCCATGCAATCAAACAAAACTCCCTTCAAAACCAATACCTGAAAATTCATCTGATGCTGACTAGCGACTGGCCTTATTCAGGCAGTTAACCTGAGGTTTTAGTGGGAAGCCGTGACCACTAGGGTACAGCAAGTTGAAGATGAGGCAGTAAATCATCGAAGAAGACGTTACGAAATGGTCACACTATGTCATGAATTGGCAGAAGTTATAATTCAAGGACCATTGGATCCGGTCCCAGTGAGTGGCTCGATGGTCTACGAGCTCGCTAGCCTTGTAACCAGAAGGTCCTGGGCTCGAACCGTGGCAGTGGGTGCGTACTGATGAAGAGCCCCAAACTAGGAAGCAAGAAACAGGTTATCCAATAGTTTTCTGATGTCAGCTCATGATGAAATCATCCATGCAATCAAACAAAACTCCCTACAAAACCAATACTTGAAAATACCTGTAAGAAGTGATGTCGTACACACACCAACAAAATCACTTCACTCACACACTTCACTGGCTGTATTTCAACCAAATGACTCAACAAAAGAAGAAGATGAAGCCAACATTATCTATAGAATAAATTGTAACAACTGTGAAAAACACTACATTGGCCAAAGTGGACCTCCCCTTCGTCTTCATATCCACGAACATAAACTAGCCGTCAAAAGACATGACATACACTGTCTAATATCGCCTCACTGCATACAGACAACCACGGACATCATTTCGACTGAGACAACCAGCGTTCAAATATTAGACAGAAGAAACACTAAGAATGACAGAGAATTTTCAGAGGCCTGGTATTCCAGTGGACCATCAATCAAGAGACACATCTACGTAGAAAAAATTCACCAATCAATAAGAAGAAAATCCTACACACAAAGGGTCAAACTTCAGGTCCAGGAAACAATCAACACCATCACCAATGCAATTAGCGTAGAGGGTGTGAAAACACACGAAAACAGCTAATCACGTTGAAGGTCACCCACCAGGCGAGATGACTGATAAACTCGTAGAGAAATCTAAAAGTTCACTTCAACAAATTGAAGTATGCGCTGAAGATGTAACCTAGTCGGGCGATGAAAGCTTTGCAAATAAATCATCCAGCTTTGAGAAGATAGCTACATCAAAAATGAGGGAAGTGCACTAACTCCACATAAATCTGAGGAATATAATTATATAAGGAAAGTGTTGATCGAAATGAAATCCTAAATATTTTTCACCGATGATAAATTTTGTGTGTTTGATTTATCAAAGTGAAATCTTATCTCTAATGGAATTATACTCTACCACCACAGTGTCCAAATTGTATACTTATATCAAGGAGTTCACTCACCTTCTCCAGCACTTTAACTCCTTTGAACAAGGATAGAAAGAGAAGAAGATTTACGAGAAACATACAGCCACAAACTTCCCATTGAATGGAACCGTAATCATTGAATCCAGAACTTTTATCCACACCAAGCATTCGAATTCTGAAAACGAAATGAAACATATCTCACATAGACACAAGAAAATCGTAAACAAATATCAAATTTTATCCTGGAAACTGTCGACTTGAATTCACCTACTTGAAGATCTATTCTCAGGAATTGAATATTATCAATGTTTTATGCTTTTGAAATAAATTTTAATATTATTCCATAGTGATTAAGAGTTAAATCTAGGATACATGCTTGCCTATTCTGAATATATCACGGAAATATATCTGCTCTACTTGAGCACTGTCATAGTAAGTAATTCCATATTGGTTTGTTTATTAGATGTATCACACAATGGGTGAAACAGTATTATTATTATCTGGATGCCAACGTGTCGAACACAATTTATCATTGTTCATAATCATTTCATCACTTGTATTTACACAACTTGGAAACTTGAGTTTTATAGTTTTTTGTCCTCTCCTATTTGTCGTCGTTCGGGTAGTAGAATTTTCCAGATATCTGGGTGAACAGATGTTGAATCATTCCTATCACATGTATTCCCTCTCAGCTGATGCGATAAACAAAGCTTCAGTTGTTTTCAATCTCTCCCTCCACCCTGTTGATACATCAGGTTTTAGAACTGTCCTCTTATCCCATCCAATCATTTTGTATAGTTGTGTGTAATTGCATGTAGTGACTGCTATAGCAGAACCATTCTTGAGATTTCTTATCTTATTCGGGTCAACTAATCTAAATTTTGCCAGGTTTATGTGCTTCGCTAGTCTGACTGCCCCCGTTCTGCTACTATGAACTATGTATTTGACCTGACAATCACTGCAGGTGGGGTATTAGATAAACTAAATTGTTTTGTTTTAAAGGCTCCAAGGGATCCTTTAACCGACAAAGCTTGTTTCTAAATGAGTTTGTGGTTGGTTGGAATGCCAGCCACTTTTACTCCTGCATTGTTAGGAATTCTCTGTAAAGTCTCCAAGGTACCTTCTTTGTATGTAAGTACTACTCATGGCTTATATTCCCTATTGTTGGTGTTGTCAATATGCTTCGCATGTTTGACATGTATTTCGTCATTAATAGTATTAATATTATTATTATCACTAGTATTACTATCATTTATTTTATTTTTACATTTCCCTACAATTTTTTGTTTCCTTCACGTTCGCAGTGTAACATAGGGCTTCACGTCGGAGACTTGAAGTTTCGGTAGCATAGGTGATTATTTTTACAGGTCGTGGTTGCTAGCCTCATGCCTAACCTTTCTTCTTTACCAGCATTATTTCTGGCTTAGTGAGGTAAAGGAGTGCGTCAGTGGCCGGGGATCGAACCCCGGACCATGTACATGGTCGGTGAGCATCCTAACGACTGTGCCACCGACTCACATTTCCCTACATACTTTCTGATTAATTTATCAGAGTAATTGTTAAGTTTCAAAGCTTATCTTATATGCCTCATTTCCTGTCTTAGACGTTCCCTGGTACAACTTAGATTTTGCGACCTATTGCTTAAACATTTCATCAATTTTATTTCCACTGACACAGGATGGGGTGTCATCCAGTAAATAATACAGTTTCATTGTGTGATATATCTAATAAACAAACTAATATGGAATAACAATATTGGTGTTTATGTGATCAGTCACTTCAAATAAATAGTTTTATTTTGCGGATTACTAAATTTTGGCCAAGTCATTACTTGTTTGAGTTGTGTGTCATTGGAAATACAATCTTCAAGAGATGGTTTATGGGGATCTGAAAAATGTGTTTATGAATCAGTTGAAGGGTCATTAAACACTAGGGGATATTGGATAAGATGAAACTTCTGTGTAGCAGAAGGAATCGAAGTTTCTGAACTTTCTTGTGTTTAGTCATAAGGTCATATTAACATGAAAAAATTTATTTATTTTAAAGAGTTGGTTTGTAAGGTTTAGATCTGTTTTTACGAGTTTGATCACGGATTGATATCAGTCAGAGAGCCATTGAAAAGCAGCAAAGGAGTACTGGACAGCTGTTTCATCAGCCTAGTTTGTAATCAGCGGCAGAAAGCACCAACTGGGGTTCGAATGCAGCAGCTTCGGGTTACAAGGCTAGCAAGCTCGTAAACTATTCAGCCTCTAGGACCCGATTACAATCCAAATACATTGGTTGGTGTTCACGTTAAAAATCACGAATTGGTAGAGGTTAGAATTCATGGCTTGGTCACTGAGTCGCGTCCCGGTGGTGGCTGAATGGTATACGACGTTGACTTGTAACCGGAGAGTCTTGGGTTCGACCCCTATCAGTGGGTTTGCACTGGCGATGATCCCCAAACTAGTCTGATGGAACAGCTGTTCAGTTCTCCTTAGTGGTTTTAAATGGTTCTCTAACTGATGGCAATCCTTGATCAAACTCGTAAAAATACCTATATACTTTGGCATTATTTATTTTCCACTTTATTAATTTAAGCTCTAAATGGAACATATGGCTTTAGACTGGAGCTTCTGAAGTCTCGGCATCAGTGGCTTTAATTTTACTGGGTAAGGTTGCTTGACGCCCAATCTCTCTTCTTTACTGAGCTTACTATCAGCTTAACGAGGTTGAGAACTGTGTCGGCTTGGAGTCGAACCCCAAACCACATATATGTCTGGCGAGTGTTTTCAACACTGGACAGCCGGCTCACATATACTCTGGTATCGTACAGTTAAATACCACTTATTATCTCAGTTTTATATTTTTCACCTACTGTTATACTCCACAAAAGTACTCACTGCAAGGGATAAAATTATACATCAACAGATTTAGTTAGTTGAAATAATCTTGCATCAAAAAGATAACAAATGTTAGTTTTTGTCTTGAAGTTGAAAAAAGTAGTTCACTTAGTGAAAAGAGTGCTTCAAGATAGCAAGTATGTTGTACGTCAATGCCAGCGCGACCACTAGCAAATGTCTTCAGCCATCTTCTGCAACCTTCTGGTCACGACTTCCCCAGAGATTGAGTACTGCTGAAGAGTCCCAGACTGGGACTTAGGAAATAGCTGTTCAGTACTCTTAGATCGTTTTCTGGTGGTGATCTAATCAATGCCAGCTCATGATGAAATCCTAGAACCAATCTATCAAAACCCTGCAAACCAATACTTGAATGTTGAACATTTTTTTGGCTAAGTTAAAAGAAGCCAAAATATTTTTTTACCAATAAGTAAATAACCTTTTAGAACTGTGTTAGACTGCTTTCAGCTAAAATTGGATATGATACATAACTCCAGTATGATGACTCATAATTTTGCTACTTGTTAACAGCAAAACATACTATTACTATCATCATAACTGCACTCTCATATTTCAAATCTTGCAACATCTAATTTTGGGTGTATTAGAAGCTGAAAACTGAGCGCCGCGTTATTTTAGAGCTCTATGCATAAAAGCATTATAGAACTACGTAATTTGGTGAGCGTTTTGAAGCATTTAGGCGAAGATTATGTACCTCTTGATAACTTTAATAATAAGAATTGTTACTATAGATTCTTCGAAGTGAGATGTCTGCAACTGTAAACTCCCTTCCACAGGTGAGTGAATCCCTGCTTGACTTACTCCTAAGCCGCTGTAAGCCGATGGTAAGCTCGATTAAGATGGAAGGTTCAGCATGAGGCTAGCAACTCCACTGCAGCCAAAACTTCAAGGACCGAATTGGCAGCTCTATGTTCCACTCAGCCTCGGTGGTACAGCAGTAGAATACTCACCGGGGTTCAATTCCCGTCCCCGCTAGGCCAGTAATAAGAGTGGTAAAGAGGGAAGTTCGGACATGGGGCTAGCAACCCACCCCGAAAAAATGGGATATCACTGCTATCGTAACTTCAAGCTAGAGGCTTGAGACCCTACGTTCCGCTGAGAACGTGTAAGAATAATCATATCATGTTCCACTCAGGAAGCAGAGGAATAAAATAAAAAAAAAAAAACTCATGACTATATATTTGTTTCCAAAAACTTTTCAAACTTACTCAAAAAACTCTCTAGCTGCAGTTGCTAAAGATGAATTTACAAGAGAAATGTTACGTCTTGACTGTTCTTGACAGTTTACCGTATTCCACCAATGATTACACTTTTCCCACGGTAACTCAGGTATAAACGATGCAAAGAAGTAAAAAAATGACCAAGCTATAAATGCATTATAATAAAGGCTGGCAAAAAATATCAGGACAACTGAAGCCCATCCAATGCCTGAAATATGAAGAAGAAAGAAAAAAATGAGCATAGAGTTGAATAAATTCTCATTGCTTTAGTATCATTCTCTGCGTAGGTCAGTCGATTCACGATAAGTAGGTTGATAATGATTTTTCATCTTCTTGCAGTTTAAAATTTCTGAACGTAACATCTGGAACAACAAAAAAACTTGTTTTATCAGACAAGTGCATTGTGAAATTCGTTTTGCAGAGAAAAAATCAACCAAAAACTATTGGCCAACAAAAAATTCTGAAAGAAACAGAGACTGATGGAATACACTGTTAGGAGGCAGTTGAGTGACATCGCATGCCATGCTATTGCTTTATTGGGACCCAGGTGGAAAATGACAAGTTGGGCAAGGGTCAGAGAGTTACATGGAGAAGATCGTGTGAGGGGGTGGGAAGAAAGCTTGTATCTAGCTAAACAGAACTGTTTAATTGGTTGATGGTGACTAGCAGTGGAATCCAGGATAACGCGCAAATCGTCCTATTTGGGACTCGTCACCTGGATGTGCCTGCATTTCACAGTGACTGATGATGTTCCCATCGATGCTCGAACCCAGTGCCCATAGTTTCAAACGCTAAAGCGTTATCCACTAGACCACGTGGGCCACTATGGGCACTGGGTTCAAGCCTCGGTGGGAGCATCATCACTCACTGGGAAATGCAGGTACATCCAGCTTGTTAACTAGTCCTAAATAGGACGAAATGCCTGTTACCCTGGATTGCACTTCTGGTCACCATCCATCACTTAAATTCTAATTAAATACCTAGACATCGTTGAAGCATCTGCACAAGAAGCCGACATTTCAACCTGAGACCAAGCACTTCAGTCCAATCAGTTAACGGGAAAATCTAAAATTCAATTAAAAAAACAGGACTGTTGTTGAAGCCCAATATTTCACTGATAACCTAAAGGAATACTACTTATGCTGAGGTTATGCTTTAGACAACAGATTTAATTAAGTCACCTTTCGGTATCAACTTAAGAGAAGTAGGGTGAGATACCATTCGAAGTCTAGTTTCATCCTCCTTAGAAACTGGTTTTGTCTACCATGGAATTGAAGAAAAATTAGTGAATGTTCACCTGCTTTTGTGTTAATGAGGTGGTTTGTTAAAAGGAGTCTTTTATAAGGAAGGGGAAACTCAACGATGCTTTTAGTCAGTCTTGCTAAACATATTTAGCCCGCTAATCAAACGTTTACTAATGAAATCCGTCCAATAGTAATTTAACTCTTAAAGTACGGCTTTACTTTCCTTCGCCTTACAGAATAAATGGCTAAATCATAGTGCATTGTTGAATTGAATATTGAATATTCAATTCAATAATTAATATGACCCGTTGCACAAGAGGTGGCTCTCGTAGCCCAAGTGGTCTAGTGGATAACGCTTTGGCGTTTGAAACTATGGGCACTGGGTTCAAGCCTCGGTGGGAACATCATTACTCACTGAGAAATGCAGGTACATCCAGCTGACGAGTCCCAAATAGGACGAAATGCGCATCCTGGATTCCACTGCTAGCCACCATCCACCAATTGTATAGTGCATTGTTATTTCTGAATGGATAGCAAGTTAGTTCTCCAGGTAATTGTAAACTTCGTTATCAGTATCAGTAAAAAGTTTGAGCATTGCGGATTAGATCAAATAAAGTATAATTATATTTCAATAGAATAAAACAATTCTAACAGTAGTGTGAACACAGGCAGTAATTTTGCTCGAAATATTACCAAAATCAAAACTTATCATTGTGTGTAAACTATTGAAATGTAATTATACTTTATTTGATTCATTATCAGTCTTGAAATTTATTTAGTTACGAAGCTTTCTGAGCTGACCTTTCATTTTATCTATTTATTTTCTGTAGAAACAAATAGTAGGGGTCGGTGTTAAAGCGGTTAGGACGCTCGCCGAACATGCACATGGTCCGGGGTTTGATCCCCGGCCACTGATGCACTCCTTTACCTCACTAAGCCAGAAATAATGCTGGTAAAGAAGAAAGGTTAGGCATGAGGCTAGCAAACCCATCCTGTAAAATAAACACTGCTGCAAAAACTTCAAGCTAGAAACTTGAAGCCCTATGTTCCTTTGGACAACAAGAAGGAAAGAAAAAGAGGAACAAACAGTAGGACGGTTGTAACAAATAGCAAAATCTACTTTTTACACCAAAGTCATCTGTTAGTAGAAGTTATAATTGACGTGGCAGTGAATTCCATTCCAGTGACTCGATGTTCAACGAGTTCAACATGTAACCTAGAGTTCTTAGGTTGAGTGATAGAGCTATGAACGTGTACGTCCCTACCGAAGGCAAAACGACTGTCCAATGCCGCTTAGTGACTTTTTAAGGATTCTCTAACTGAATTCAATTTCGATCTAACTCCTAATAAAATGCTGGTATAAAAAACCGAAGTAGCGACTTAGAACAAGAGAAATAGGCAAGGCATTGAAGTGTTAACAAACATCTTTATATAATGAGGTATTAATCTAGTTAGAGGCCAACTCACTATGACAATCAGAACAAAAAAAACAAAAAAAATGGTGTAGGCACCTTATGTTTTCCTGTTTATTAATTATTTATTCGCTTATCGACTGTTAAGATACTGAAACAGCATAAGTTTTGTTAGTGCACTACGCGAAAAACAGGTTTTATTGATTTCACTGGCTGAGAGATATTTTGCATAGTCGAACTATGTTATATGATACGACATACAATCGCAATAGAGCATTGTTTTGTTTTTATTGATGTAGTTCAGAGCATAATTTAACTGCTCAAAAGGTACAAAAAGGTACTCGCATAACTTCTGGACCTTGTCTAAAAGTGGAGTATCATTTCTCATTCTTTGATTTTATTAATCATAATACTTTTTCATAATAGCAGTATATGCGTTAGTTAGACATCAGTGGAAACCAGAAAGCAGTGTACAGTTGTTTTGTACTAGTGTTAGACTCTTCACGGTGCGCATCCACGATCCCATGAGGAATTGAACCCAAGACCTTCAGGTTATGACACAGTGTTCATTAACCATTCAGCCACATGGGTTTGAGTTCAATGCACTGTAAATTCTAACCAGGGTGGAAATCAGAATGGCATTTCAATTCACAGGTTGAAGAGTTCTACTGACTCAATTAGACAGAGTAATTTAATCTATGATGTACCTTCCAATGACTTTGAAGTGATTTACACAAGTCGAAGCAGTTGATTGTGGTAATGGAGGCCACAAATTTAGGAATCATTATCTTAGAATGTTTTTTTATTGAATCAACTCCAGACAAGTGCATTAGGAGTTGGATTCATCAGTACCAGTAGTATGGGAAGGTCCTGGGTTCGAACCTACTGTGGTGGGTGTGTACTGCCGACGATACCAAAAACTAGGACGAAACAGCTATCCAGTACATCAGTGCTGGTTTTCAATGGTTCTCTAACTGATACCAATAAATGATCAACTCGTAAAAACAAAGTAACCCTTACAAACCAAACTATAGAGTATGGAGACCAATGAACAGGAAGTAATTGAACTAATTTAGGCAAAATCCATATATGATAACCTGATATGACTATAAGCAGTTGAATTGTTTTTTGTATTCTACCCATCCTTCTTTACTGCTCCCTCTTAATCTTTCCTGGAATACTTTAGAAAGACTTGGCTTTACTGAGAAGGGCACTAAAAGCCGTTAGTAGGGCAAGTCGGCTATCGTTAAACCAACTGGTTAACACTGTTGTAGATAGATATATAATGTCATGTAAGAAACTAGCGAATACAATATTGTCAGACCCCGAGCGTCCTCTCTATACGCAGCTCTCTTCTTGCATTTCATCCGGTAGAACTGGAAGCAGCTATAGGAGGCTATATGCTAGGACTACCAAGTACAAAACTCCACAATACCATATGTCGAAAACAGACAGACAGACAATACCATATCTAGCACAGCTGTTGTGTGATGAGAAATCCGTTGGGTATGACACGATCAACTTACTGCGGCACTCTAACAAATAGTCCCATTAGATTTTGTTTTCCTTTCTTTGTTACTATTATATTGTTGTTCACATCTTCGATTACACACTAATTTTATATTTCATATCCTGTGGTGCATTGTTTAAAGTGTATACGCAAGGCTGTTCTTTTTATTTCTTCTTAATTATCTATTTTTTTGGTTGTTGCTTTTTGATTTTAAAATCTTATAAAATTTATGAGGTAATTAGATGCAATATATTGTAATGCACGCTGAAAATTCCGCACCTGTACCACAAATACTGTTTGGAATAAAGCTGTTATTATTATTGTTGTGTTCCTAACTCCGTTAGTAAATAACACTGTGTTACTCTATATTCTATCAGCTGTGGAATGAAACTCATCACAGGGTCGAAATTCTACTCTCATGCAAGAGACACTTTATTAAAGTTTTATTATGATCACAAATGATTCATGTTTTAGGTAGTTGATAAGAAGTCGATATAATTTTGAGATTAGCCACCTTAGACATTATGAAAATGATTACACAGAATGCTGTAAAAATAATTAATATCCAAACTAAACAATAACATTAAAATCTTGTTCAAATTAAGTTTTTCTGTTTTTCCATCTTTATGTGCCAACTCCTTAGTAAGCCTTGACATCTTTTTACTTTTGATAAGTTTTTGTAAATTTTTGAATGCATTTCTCAAGATAGTTATTGAGTAAGAATATTCACCGAGTACGCTTCACATGATACGGGGTTGATTCCCCGTCAACGCACTCCTAAACTCTGCTCAGACAGTAGTGAACCTCGTAAGGAGAGATATTTGGGTGAGAAACTTACAACCGCAACTCGTTAAATGAAAATAAACACCATTGCTACTAAAACTTCAAGCTCAACCTTGAAATCCTCTTTTTCACTAGGAACGCAAAGAGATAAAATAATCCAAGGAAAAAATGGAGTTTCATAATTTATATACCCGACTATACATGTCCTACTGAAGCCTTAGATTCTTTTGTTGATACTAGTGTCCATCTTCAATTTTTTCCTTGATTTATTTTAAAGTAGACCAATGGAAGTTAGTCTTGTTCATTTACTGGTTCAAAAGCGATGTGATAGCCCTTTTTTATTGAGTTTATTTATACATATTGAGAAACTATGGATACGATTTAGTTTCATCCCCATACTACTAAAATACTGTACAAGTAGGCATAAACGTACCAGTGGTTACATTTCAACTACTATCCAAAAGGTTATTCAGAGAGTTATGCTGGGTATATTTTTATGATTATTACCGACGAGCTGTTCTGGAAACATCATTGCGTAATATTAAACCGAAAGAGAAGAATGCGATTCAGTACCAAAGGAAACGCTGTATCTGAATCTGAATTTCAGGGGTGATTTGGCAAGCGACATCCTGAAGAGGAGAATATCCAGCTCTTTAAAGAAAGCCTTCCCTGCAGCAACACTAAGAGTGACATTCTCCAGCAGTCCAATACTCCAATATGACCAATTCAGTGTGCATATACTAGTTCACCTGCTCATGTGGAGCTAGGTACATAGGTTGTTGTATGCGGGTCCTTTCAAAGCGTGTTACAGAATATTACCCAGCATGGCTGCAAAGAGGAGGCATCGTTCAATCAGAAGTGCCATTATTGAACATCTGATCAACACCTCCCAGAACATCTCAACTGATTCTTTCAATGTAATTTACAAAGTCAACAGAAACTTACCATAAGCAGTATGTTTCCGACTTCTCTGTACTGCAGAAGCTCTGGCAATATGCATCGAGAAGCCAGAGCTGTGTGTTCAAAAGAAATTAGTCCAGCCTCTACAACTACCATGAACCTAGTTTTGTATGTTCCCTTAGCTTCCAATCTGTTTTCTTCTTTCGTTCTCTCTTTTCATTTTAGGCTATTTTCGTTCGCTGTGTGTGTGTGATTATTACTCCCTCAGTCTTCATTCGATTCTCGCCATTTTTTCAGTTATAAAAAATTAACTATTATATCTTAATCCTGTGCAATTTTTGTGTTTTTAAGGCTCTTGTAATCTATATTCGCACCTCCTAACTCCCATCTCAAGTTGAAAATTATTATTTCAATTTTGTTTCCATGCTCATTTTTACACACTTGATATCCGCTCTAACTCTGTGTAATTTTGTTTCTAACGCCTCTGGTAAAAACCATATCTAGTTGAAAATAATTATCACCTTTTATTCGCCGTTGTAATCATGTGAAATCAAACAAGAATTGTATCCATGTAAAAAAAATATGTATTTAAATGCCGAAAAGATAACTTTTTTGAACTTCGTGTTCTCTTCTCTCTAATGTCCATATAGGTGTTTTTCACGATCTAATATTAAAGCATTAAAAATTTCTTAGTATGATTCTAATTTTAGTGTTGTCACCAAAATGTCTTTTTCTACATTAAAACAACTAATTATGTCAAAATCTAAATAAATAGTTTTCAAGTTTGATGATGGTCTGATATCAGTTATAGAACGACTGAAAACCATCAGGCAGTGCTGGATAGCTTTTTCTCTAGTTTTTGTTTGTGAAACATCAGCAGAACTCACCCACCGCCAGAGTTCAAAGGTCATGTACTTCAGGGTTATAAAGGAAGTCCGAATAACATTCAGCCACTGGGACCCAACCCAGTGACCTGTGAGTTCTAACTCCGATCAAATCGTGATTTTTGGCGTTGCCATCCCCCGACGCCTACTGCCAATGATTCTAGGAATTAGAACGAAACAGATGATTACTACTCCCTGGTGTCAATTGATTCTCTAACTGGTATCAGTCCGTGAGAAAATTTGAAAAGAAAAACTGAATTCCCTTCAAACTAACTCTTGGAAATACCTTTCAGTTCACTACTTACTGTGACGGTCAGTTTTTAGGAAGGAAAATACACAGTGTAATTTACCTCACTAATGTCTACGATGTAAATATATGTGAACCGACTATGCTGCACCTCCATACACTCAGATTTTTAGTGCTCATTGAAGATGATACCCTTTAGAACGAAAGTGTGTGACGTCTTAACTAATTGGGTCCACTAGGTCGGGCATCAGGATATAAACACTCACTGATGACAATGGCTAGTGCCAGTCACGCTACAATCACAAATTCGTCGAAGACATTAGTCGTTTTGGTTTACGTATTCCAAAGATTTTCGGTTATAAAGTGACTATGTATCTCGGGATTCTGCTTGACTCTTTCATCATCAGTCATTCAATCCTCAGAACATGGTTATTAAAAAAAAATACAGTTTTACGGCCTACTCTTTTTCTTGCAAAAACTAACCTTTCATTGCTAAGAAAAATTTCTAGAATTTCTAAATATTTCTATCACCAAAAGTTTCTGATCTTATATATGTGGTTTCCTGTTTCACTAGACATCTGCTTAATAATATAGTAATTAGAAAGAACCTTTCTTCTGTAAATCAGCGTAGGAAACCTCCCACAAACATACACAACGTTGAATCTGAACATTCTGAGAAAGTCGTTTGTTATGTTTACAGGATTTGATCATGAGTTGACATAGGTTAGAGAACCATTAGAAAACCAGTTGGGGGTACAAGACGGCTGTTTCCCACTTCCTAGTTCGGAACTCTTCAGCAGTACACTCAAACCACTAGGGTTCAAAGCCATGACCTTCTGGTTTCAAGGCAAGCGAGCTCGTGGACCAATAAACCAATGGAACCTGATCTCGTTTTAAATGAATTCTTCTAAGCTAAATAATTTTATATATCGAAGGACGCTGTGGGATTACATTTTATCCATTATCATTTTATTACTTTGCGTTCCAAACGAGAATAAGGATTTCATGTTTGAGCTTTGAAATCTCGGTAACAATAGTGTAACATGTGTTACTGACAACATTGATCAATAGGGTTCAGGAGTGAGTCGGTCACGGATATAATATGATGTGGCGTCGATGAGTGTTCAACCAACGAAACTCCTAACGCACAAATTTACACTACACGATCAATAGTATGAACATCATGAGGGTAAAATTAATTCATAAATCATATCATTATAATTATTATTAATATTACAAATAAACTAACCTTTAAAAAGTATTGCTAATTTCCATATACTAACACAACCTTGACGAAAATACTGTCCAGCTAATAACTCCATATAAAACACAGGGACAGCACAAAAAATTAACATTGCCAAATAAGCGATAAGAAATGCTCCACCACCATGGATATAGCATAAATATGGAAAACGAAATACCGTAGTTAAATCGACAGCAAAACTTATACTTGATAAAAGAAAACTTAAACGAGACGACCACACTGCTCTGTCATCGCCATCATTTTCATTTGTCGCCTCAGTGGGATTATTATTTTTTTTATTGCCATTAGTACTTTGAATGGATGATTTACTATTTCTTGGTTTTTTATGACCAAAATAAACATGATGTGGATTGTTTTCATCGTCGAAGTCACTAGAGATGGATGGATTTCTTGGACGAACTGACACCAGGGATACACTACTTTGTAATACTTGTGTCATAATCAATAGGAATTTATCAAAAAAAGGTGTTTAACTGTTCTTCGAAAAACAAAAGCTATCAAGTTTATCAGAATAATATTTTAGTGTTAGTAGAACACGTTTGTCATGATTAGGTGCAAAAATATTCGACTAAGGGGTGGTGTTTGTCTGCATTACTGGAAAGACAGTGTTGAAATAGAGTGTTTAGTGTAAGTTCCAATAAAAACATGTTTCTAGTAATGTGAAATTCTAATTAGTGGATTCAGGTTTTTTTGTCTTTTCTAATTTTTTTTGTAAACTTTGTGATACAAAAAATAGTTTCATTGAAAAACTTAGTTCTCAAATGAAAAGAAAGAAAGAGAAAACAACCTACTGACGATTACATTGGTAACATTTGCACACGTGTAATGTTGTGATTTCACATATAGATAGGCTGCTGTACTTTTTTTTGGAAAAATCGATATCCATGTATCTGAGATGTGTGTTGTTGGGTAATATATATATATATATATGGTTTCTTCAATACCTCTGAAAAAAGTTGAAAAAAACCAAACAAACGTAGTGCGTGTTGAAGTATTCAAGAATATTTATTCAAGATGTCATGTTATTCATGTAATACAGAACATGTCGTTCACGTGTGTGGGTGCTTTTTGAATAAAAGGAGTTTGTACCTGTTGTTCAGTGATGGTAAATCTATGGTTCTCTAAGTTATGTCCATCCGTCGGCAAACTTGAGGCAAATCAAATCCCTACAAACAATGCCTTTGAAAGTTAATCTGATGCTCGCTTATCACTAACAGCCAGAGGAAGGTGACTGCAGTTACCAGTGGGTTCCATCTAGTCAACAGTGAGGGGTAATAATTAATTCATCGGTGATACTGGTTGGTAGTTTCGCTAAACACCAAGGGTTATGGAATCGGGTTCCAATAGCTTTTCTTTTTAACTGGAATGTCTTAGATTCGAACTCACTCCTGTGGGTGAGTACTAACTAATAAGGAGACCCAAACGAAAATGGAAGGAACAACTTTCCACTACTTCCTGGGGCTTTTCATTGGTTCTCTAATTGCTTTAAGTAGTAATAACAACGGTAACCATTGAGATAATAATAATCTTATTGTAAAACAAAGTGATACTAAAATACGATAAATTTTAAAAGCAATCTAAGAACATTTGATCAGTCCTCAATGACTTTCGGGTGCATCAGTTAGTGGACTGTTGTGATAAAATAAGAGTAAAGCATTTCACGAACTTTCTCCTCTTGAATGCGAAAATTTGAATACAAATAGCATACCTATCTAGTAGATTATATGTGGTGAGATTCTATTCCAAAGGCTTTCAAGGAGTATACGAAGAACATTTGACACAGCACACCTATGTTTGTCATTCTCTAGCCGACGAATGATTGGGACGCAAACGAAGGATAAGCGTGATAGTTTTGCCACATCTGTGTGCATTTATCAGTTCAACTGCACCTGCGGTGACAGTTATGTTGAGCGTACTACTAGACAACTAAGCCAACGTGTCACTACTGAACATCTCCCATCGTGGTTTAGCGAAGGATAGACAAAAACAACTCGTAGCTCACTTCTGTCACATTTAATTGATCGTGGTCATGTAGTAGAAGAAACGAGAGCTTCCAATGAAATTCATAGTATCCCATCGAATCTTTCCAATAGACTTCGTTTTCGTCTACTGCACACAGCTGAGACAAGTGATAGGCATTCGAACTATTAAACCTAAACCCTTATCTCTCCCTTGGCATATTATGACACAACCAACTAATGACTTCTACACCACCCCTTGTTTATATTTTCAACCCCTTTTCTTATCATCCTTTATTCTTATTACATCTTCATTAAAAACGTGTCTCATTTACTTCCCTTACAATCTAGCGTTACTTATCGGTTCATTTGTTTTTACTAGGCTTTATCGACTACTTCCACCTGAACATTTGTTTCTTTAACCATGCTGTTTTCCATTATTCGTGTTATCACAGATTGCCTCGCTGTTTCATCCTTATTACTGATAGACTATTACGCTACATTTTGGTCATAAATAAAATCTCTTATTACTCTAAAATTTTATGCAAAGTGTTTGCGGAAATTATCACAATTATTAACCTTTCGAACACTGAATCCAAAAAATACAATCTTATTGACAGATAATACACATAACTCACTGTTTGGATTTGTGGAATTTTTAAACATAAACACATCTATAATTGTATATATTGTTGGATTTATATGTTCAAGTTGCTCCAAGTCAGTGAGTTTATGGTTAAGATATCATTTTAGTTAAATGTACTGAACTATATTGCATGTTGTCTTATTGTATAGTTGTCGTCGCTTTTTGCCCTTTTTTCTGTGAACTGTTTCCTTTGTTGATGTTGTTCTCATTGTTTGTCCGTTATTTTCTGATTTTGAGGGGAGCAACCCAAAAAGTTGCTTCTCTCTAAACTTTTACTTAATGTAATCATTCTTTTCTCAGGCGTGAGGCTAGCAACCCCACCCTGTAAACAAAAATTGCTACAGAAACTTCAGTATGTTGAACCTCCTTGCACCAAAAGAAAAAGTCTGTGTAGGAACATGGAACGTCCGAACTATGTACGAGACTGGAAAGCTGCCCAGATCGCCAACGAGATGAAAAGATACGGAATACAAGTGCTGGGAATATGTGAGAGCAGATGGAATGGGAGTGGACTCACCAAATTGTCAACAGGTGAGTCAGTGATCTACTCCGGTCACCCAGAAGATAACCACACGCACACCGAGGGCGTGGCTATCATGATGTCACCAACGGCAACGAAAGCCCTGATACAATGGGAGGCGATTTCGTCCAGGATAATGACCGCCAGGTTCAACTCCAAAGGAAGGAAAGTGTCAATCATACAATGTTATGCACCCACAAACAACGCAGACCTCGAGAAGAAAGAAGAATTCTACAGGCAACTACAGGCAACAATGGACAATACTCCAGCTGGCGACATGAAAATACTAATGGGAGACATGAACGCCAAACTGGGACCAGACAATACGGGAAGGGAACTCATCATGGGTAGAGAAGCTCTAGGAGAAATGAATGAAAACGGAGAACTCTTCGCCGACTTCTGCGCCTTCAACGAACTGGTGATTGGTGGCAGTGTATACAAGCACAAAGATATCCACAAGGCTACATGGGTGTCACCAGACGGGCAAACCAAAAACCAAATCGACTTCATCTCAATCTCAAGGAAGTGGAGGCGCAGCCTACTGGACACAAAAGCAAGAAGAGGAGCAGACGTTGGCTCAGACCACTATCTCGTACAAGGGACAATCCAAATCAAATTAAAAGCTTTCAGGGAATCAGGAGCTGCAGATAGACCACAAGCCAAGTTCAACACTCAAAAGCTGAAGGACCAGGCTACAAAGGACATCTTCATTGCAAGCATAAAGGACAAAGCCGAGACACAAATCAACACTAGCGAAGAGGTCGGCGTTGAAAAGCACTGGAACAACTTGAAAACGGTGTGGAGCCAAACCTGCATAGAAATTCTAGGCAGAAAAAAGAGACAGGACAAACAGTGGCTCACTACGGACACTTGGAAACTAATAGAAGAGAGAAGGACAGTGAAGCAAAAGATTATCCAGTGCACGGACGAGCAACAAAAACAGGAGCTGAATGCAAGCTACAATACACTGAACAAAAGAGTGAAGAAAAGTGCCAGGGAAGACAAAAGAAAATATTATGAAACCATGGCAAACGAAGCAGAACAAGCTGCAGGCAAAGGAGACCTCGCCACACTCTACCAAACAACTAGGAACCTTTCGGGCAAACGTTCGACACAGATTAAGCCAATAAAGGACGACAATGGAAAGTCAATCACCAAAGAGGTGGAACAGAGAAAGCACTGGGTTGAACACTTCAAAAGACTTCTAAATCGTCCGCCACCTACAACACGTCCAGCAATACCAACAACGGAAGCAGAACTACCAGTGAACACTGACCCCCCGACGAAATCAGAAGTCCTGAATGCAATCAAGATGCTTAAAACTGGGAAAACACCGGGACCAGATGGAATCCCAGCAGAGGCTTTGAAAATAGACCCAGAGACAACAGCGGACTTGATGACACCACTACTGGAGAAGGTGTGGAAAGAGGGCAAAGTACCCGAGGATTGGAAGAACAGTTACTTATTCAAACTTCCAAAGAAAGGAGACTTAAGTCAATGTAAAAACTGGCGTGGAATTATGCTTCTGTCCATTCCAAGCAAGATACTAAGTCGCATCATCCTGGAGAGAATCAAACAAGCCCTAGATGAAAAACTTCGTCCGGAACAGGCTGGATTCAGGAGAAACAAATCATGTATTGATCAAATCGCCACTCTACGGATCATCATTGAACAAAGCTTGGAATGGCAGTCACCTCTCTATCTCAACTTCATCGACTTTGAAAAGGCCTTCGACAGCGTCGATCGAGAGGTCATTTGGAAACTACTTCGCTACTACGGGGTCCCATCGACAATTATACACCTCATCCAACAGTTATACGACAATGCTGCATGCCAAGTAATCCACAACGGGAAACTTACGGAAGCCTTCGAAGTGAGGACGGGAGTGAGGCAAGGCTGTCTACTATCACCAATGATCTTCCTGATTGCAATTGATTGGATAATGCGACAGACAACGGCAACCAACGAGGGAACAGGCATAAAATGGACTGACACAAAAGACTTGGAGGATCTGGATTTCGCCGATGATATATGTCTGATTTCCCATAAACTGGAAGATATGCAAGTGAAAAGTAACAAGTTGGCAGAAGAAGCATCAAAGATAGGACTTCACGTGAACATAGATAAAACAGAGATGATGAAGATTCCTAGCCAACATCAACAACACCAACAGACCACAATAAGCATAAATGGGAAGAACCTGAAAGAAACAACCTCCTTCACCTACCTGGGAAGCATCGTCTCAACTACAGGCGGAACTGACGAGGACATCAAAGCCAGAATCGGAAAAGCAAGACAAGCTTTCATTACTCTCA